GGACAGATAACTGGAGAAAAACCGCGTCGATATTGTGGGACGAAGAGGTGAAACTGTCAATTACTACGGATACCTTGCGGCAGGAGAGCGAGTCAGCCACCCATCTGCAAAGCTTCTCTAAGAGGCTATAGCTTTCGTGATGTCAAGGTCAAGACCAACCACATGAGACTTACCTTGGGACTGGTTCAATTTACCCCACAGTTGTGTGACGTCAGCTACGTGGTCTCGCGTTGAATGCTGGTGCCGGAAATATATTGCCTGTCTCTAATCAAGCCGTGATGTTCAAGATTCTTTAAAAACTCTATGTATGCACATCACTATGCTGATAACATACAACAGCGCTGTAGGTCTGTAGTTGTAAGGATCGATCTTAGATCCTTTTTTTGAGATGGGCTAGACACGAGCAAATTTCCATTTCACTGACAAAACTAGCAGATTCGTAAGATATCTGAATGAGATGCGAAAGAACTGGAGTAAGCTCCGCTGCACATCCTTTTCGAACAATAACAGCAATCAAGTCTGTTCCAAATGCTTCGTTGATGTTAAAAGACAAGAGCATCCGTCTTATGGTCTTATGCCTGAAGGTTTCTTCCCTTGGGGACCCGACATCACACGGGCACTAGGGAGAGCGTCCATTGTGGAGTAGGCAGCAAAGATCTTGGCAAGCAGCCTTGGAGTCGGTTACAATCGTGCCATTCTGGCACGTAAGCAAAGGAACGCTACTTCTTGAGAAGCATTGAAAATTATCGATGAACAAACAGGCGACGCATCTAACTCAGCAAAACAAACATCACTCCAAAGGAAGTTAGAGAAAAGGTCACTGAGCCCTTCCCAGTCAGCATGTCCGTAAGGCCGAGTTTTGCTGCTTGGGCGTCACTGAAACCTGACGTCTACAACACCGTCATCCGAGTTACTCAGCGAAGATCGCACAACAGTGCTGAAAGGGCCAGAACGTGTGATCATAAAGAGATCCAGCAGACTACTGGCATATGATCGAACGCGCGGAAGGAAAGTAGGGTTCGTCAGCAGCTGGGTCACTCCTTGGTTAATGGCGAATGCCCGCTGCATCGGTCTTCTTTGATCCCAACCAGGGTTCACTATCAGCGTTTAAGTCTCCGAGGATAACTACTTTTGAAACGGGGTGGTTGACGTTCAAGGATTCGACCATGTCAGCGGGGTATACAAGTAGGTCATCCCAGTTATGGTCCGAGAGGGAGCGTAACAGGCAACAAACAAATTTCGGGGTTGGTTTGGTATTGAGCCGGAGCCACAGAGTGTCCTTCCAGCCTAATCGCGGAAAGACGTCTCTGGAGCAGGAGAGACTGTCGCTGACAAAATCCGCAACTACACCATTCTTCCTCAAAATGGAGGGCACCTCGTAGTTCGGAAGACTAGGATCGTTAGTAGAGGCAGAACGGAGATTTTGGTCTCCACCGCAAAAAAAATGGTGAAGCGATGTAGCTGCAGATAGTAGCTTACGGGTAGAAGGATGTATACATTTGTAAGATACTCTGAAATAAGTTAGCGGATGGTAGCGCCTCGGTCGGAAGGTCCTTGTCTACCTCTTCCTTTTTGTTTAATAACGGTGTTGAAAAAGACCTAAAGTGGCCCGTTAGCGGACTTGTACCGCAATTGGCTCTGAGATATTCGTTAGCGCGTGTGCTATTACTTGAACGAGAAGATGTTGTATACTAAGAGCAACAACTTACGGAACAAGCATGCGCCACGGCCCCGCTCAGTAGGTGATAATCTGGATCTTCGTATATTAATGTTATAGTTTAGAGTTCGAGAGGCTCGACCATGCACTTAGTCTTAGCGGACTGAAACTCAGCATTGGAGCAAATATTTATTGTTACCTTACATTTACGAAGTGATGCTTTGGTGGCACCAAAAGACGAAGCAGGCTGAAAGGGGTGGAAACTTGTGATATTTTATATTTCGATGTATTCAGTCAGATCACGAATCTGTTCCTACAAAAAAAAGCTACCTCCCGTAGCCAAGATCGGCAAATTAATGGTACCTCTTGGGTGCCAAGTAGTCAATACCTCTTTCATGCCGAGTTGCATTTCCATGAAACAGGGGTGCAAATGTTGAAAGGAGGTGTTAACTTCGAGCTTCTAAGTTTTCTGGAAAATGCTACTGAAGAAGTAGGTAGACCGTCAAAATGTCCCTGGCCCCGATTCTTAGTCAACACATCGCTAGTATACAGGGTGTTTAAATTTACTTTCTAAAATAGTTTTTTTTTAAATATTTCGAACAATATTTGATGTATAACAGTGAAAATTGGTGTACAAGGGTTTTTTGATATGACAAAACGAACCATGGGCATAGTTTTACTGTAGCCGCTAGAGGGCGCTCTCTACTGTACCTGCAGTGTATTAAAATGATCGAAAAAAATTCTTAGTGCAATTTTTTGCTTTTTGAATAAAAAAACTGATTCTTCGCACTTTTCAACATAAAAAAGCTCTCTTGTGAATTTTCGTTATAGTTTTTTAGATATTTCGATTTTTATGGTTCGATGCATTTTTAATTATTTATGATAAAATAACGTTAAAAAGTCAGTATCTCGATAATTTTTAGAAGTAGGCTGTGCCTGCAAATATTTTTGAAATTGAAGGCAGAATAAGGTTAAACGTCAATTGGTTGACAGTTAGTTTTGTTGACTTTTGAAACCTGAAACGTTTTTTTGCAATGGTGAATGCACGAAATTTAGTTTTTTTGACTGTTTTTTTTTGTAAGTTTTATGAAAATGCCATTTTTATTCTCCAATCAAGAGTTAGCGGATATTCATTTTGTGTATGGCTTTGTAAATGGAAACGCAGCAGAAGCAGCCAGAGAATACGCACGAAGATTTCCAAACAGACGACATCCAACTTGCTCAGAATTTGTAAGTGTGCATCGTCAAATAATTGAAAATAGTTTTGGAAATCTGCAAAGGGATCAAGACATAAATGTTCGTCAGCGCAGATTTACCGTTTACCGTGTTCTTAGAAATGACCATAGACGTCCTTACCATTTGCAACCTGTGCAAGGACTACAGCCAGGGGACGGAGAACGAAGAATCACATTTTGTCAGTGGATTCTTGATAGAACTGATAATAATAGGGAGTTTTTAAGTAACGTTTTATGGACCGACGAGTCAGGCTTCACTAGACGTGGAGTGGTAAATTTTCATAATCAACATATTTGGTCGCATGAAAATCCGCATGCAGTTGGGGAAAGAAATTTTCAGCATGAATCTAGTATGAACGTGTGGATTGGTATCTACCGTAATCGACTATTTGGCCTTTTGCCTGCAAGGTTAAATGCTGCGACCTTCTTGGAATTTTTAAAGGCTGAACATGCAAATATGTGGGATGATGTTATGTTAAATTTAAGAAGATTGGCCTGGTTCTTGCTTGATGATTGTCCAGCTCATTATTCGAGAATAGTTTGAAACTGGCTGGACGAAAATTATCCAGAAAGATGGATCGGCCGTCGCCTGGCCTCCACGATCCCCTGACCTAAATCCATTGGATTTCTTTGTGTGGGGATTTCTAAACAAAAAAGTGTACCAGACTCCCGTAACCACAAGAGATATGCTAATAGACAGAATCAGGAATGCATGTGATGAAATAAGGCCTTATTTGAATAATGCTATACCACGTTCGATTATTCGTAGATGTGAATTGTGTATTGAACAATTGGGTTTACATTTCGAGCAACTACTTTAGATTCTGTATGTTTGTCCTAACTATCCAATAGCATTTTAGTTGTAAATAATTAATTTAATTTGTTAAAAATAATATTGGAAAATTAAACAAATTAATATCCTGTTTTTTGTGTTTATTTGGAGTTAGGAATTATTCCTGTGTTTAAAAACACAATCTAAACGATCATCTTAATTACTTGTAATGCCCAAATCGAAGATGTAAAAAAATATTATTTTTCCATAAATAATTAAAAATTCATCGAACCTTAAAAATCGAAATATCTCAAAAACGGCTAACTATAACGAAAACTCACAAGATAGCTTTTTTATGTTGAAAAGTGCGAAGAATCAGTTTTCTTATTCAAAAAGCAAAAAATTGCACCTAACAACTTTTTTCGATCATTTTAATACACTGCAGGTACAGTAGAGAGCGCCCTCTAGCGGCTACAGTAAAACCGTTGTATACCAATTTTCACTGTTATACCTCAAATATTATTCGAAATATTTAAAAAAAACTATTTTAGAAAGTAAATTAAAACACGAGATATTGAAAATACTGCTGTCGGGTTCCTTCAGGGGTACCACTTGGGCACCACTTATTAATAGCATCAGGTATTCCACGCGAGTTTTATTCTAGCACAATAAAATGGAGCCCTTGTGAAGAAGCGACGGTCCCCGTTCTTTGCGTCCTCAGGATTCCTAAAAATGCCTTTGTAGGCTACCCGTCTAGATATGGTTTGCCTGGGTATTGACTCAACACACAGATAGAACTGAGAACAACCCAAATAAAAAAAAATATGAATCTGTTCTGGCGAAAAATTCAACCCGCTGAGTAGCCAGGTTCCTCTTCTGGTACCGCTTGGGCAGCAGTTCGATATTTATTCCTCTCAAACAAAGTGTAGCAAAACCTGATAGCTCATCGTTGCTCGAAATTGATGTCATTCATTGCACAATCGGAAAATCTTTTTCCAAAAAATGTCGCTACGGACAACCAAATGACTCGAGCGAGTTCAAACTTGTACTGAAAGCGGATCACATATTCCCCTGTCTCCCCTCTAAGCCTGGCGACTCCAGTGTTGCCAGATCGAACGCTACGTTGCTAACCTCATTACTTAATTTACAGGCCTCTTAGGTCAAGAGGCTACGGAAAAATAGTTAATCAAATAAAAAATTGGTCAGCCAGATGGAAAATTCAGGTTGGAGGAAGACATTTTGGACAATTGTTGTGATGATATCATATACAAAAGGCAAAAATTAAATACATTAAATCCTATTGTCTTAGGGCCCTAATGACACTTTTCCGGATATGGGTCCCTATACGCAAATGTTTTCTACTGTTACACGGAATAACCCCTACAAGTTTTATCCCATGGTTCCGAAACACCCTGTATAGTAAAGATATAATAATACTCTGCCAATATTTACAGGTTTATTGAATACTTTCACATATTAACAAAAAATTAAATTAGAAAATAGGTATAATAGATTTACATACAGTAAAGTTACAGCTGCAATACAAAATGATGAGATACATAAGTTAATAAATGTTTGATACCTAGTACATACATGTCTTTTATAAGATCCTGTTCAACTAATATCATTGTCATAAGATGTGAAAGAAATTGGAGAAAAATAATTTTTTAAAAGTTTAATATTTTACTAACAACAGTAAAGAATATAATCAACGTTATTCCTATAGTTGCAATTTCTGAGTTACCTCATAGACTTATTCTGACCAAAAATAAATTACAAATACGATTCAGGTTCCAGTATTCTAATCTTGTTTCTGCTATAGTTACAATGTTTGGGTTATTATAGGGTTGATCCTGATCAAAAACGAATTACAGGTACAATTCGATTTCCAAAGTAATGGAGCTTTTTAGTCTCTCTATCTTACAATAGAATAGTAGCGATTTGTGTTTTCTTAGTATTATCTATTTCCCTGAAACATAAGTTGTGCAAGTTAGTGATATAGGAGACTTAAACGGAAATGTTAATAGTAAAGCAGCGGATTGACAAACATCATACGTGTGCTGCATTTTGTGACTTTCTATACATTAATAATGGAATTGGAATGGAGTCTGATGCATACGTATATCAATTACCATTCAAAAGCTTCTCAGTGGGAGCAACATTTTCGTCATTCTGGTTCTGATTAGCGGCAGTGGAAATTGGAAATCCCATAGATGCTAACACAACAGCTTCAATCGTCTCTTTTTTACGTTCTGGTAGAAGAGGTTCCATTTCCATCTGGAGATAAAAAGCATGCAAGATAAATTTAATACAACCAATACATTAGTGATCAGCTCATATTTGTACATAACGCGATGAACGGTCAGTAAGCAGCATACCTGAGAACATATCTAACTTATGTGAATAAGCTCTTCAAGCTGTGAAAACAGCCATCTAACAAATATTTACTTGAGTTTTTGTTTGACAACAACTGATGTTGGAGAACGCGCGATACCTGTTGTCACGTGCCAAAATCACGTAACTTTTTTTTACTACTTTGATCATTTACCATTAATTTGAGTTTCTCTTTATTGGTTATAGAATACCGATTCCTAGGCCAAACCCTTTTCAATGATTTTCTTTTGATAAATTTCATTGTTTATTGATTGTATAATTTCACGCGGATTATATCTTTCTTTCTCAGCGATTCAGTATTTTGTTAGAACCTTTGGACACTAATGTTATAGTGTTATTAACGACTGTCTCAGAAATTTCCTCATAAAATATCGTTGGTCCCTCGTGGAGTTGGTTCCACCCATTGGCAACCAGCGCCACCTTGTGATTTCCACAAGTTCTAGCCGTATAGGAATATTTGCCTTACTATCAAGATACCTTCTTTTCCTATCAAGATACTTTGTTTTAAAAACTTTCGTGTACAGATATGTCAAACGCCATTTTTAGTTTCGTCTTTCGGTTGAAGTTTTGGTTATGCGTGGGTCGTTTCGTTGGTAATAATTTCCACATTCTGGGATATTAATGCCCCAAACACCAGATTATGTAGAAGCATCTTTCATTTTGTACCTTACGTTCAGTTGTTTTGGCTTGGGTGCTACCCCGTCCATTTTCTAATGGGATTTTAACATTCAGCGGTAAGTTCTTTTTTGTATACTAACTGACCACGTCCATTAATGCATGTCCTGAAGAAGTTTGTTCAATATCTGCTTCCTTTTAGTGGGAAGGCATTGCGGAGATCCACCATTTCCACTCCGCCAGATTTTTTTTGTAGCTGCCTTGTAGCTGTATTATATACAGGGTGACTTCGAAGTTGAGTCATTTATTTTAACAATGAGTAGATCTGATCAAAAGAAATGTTTTTTTCCTTTACCATTTTTCTGGTAAAATTGAAGTATCAAAGTTATAGCCCTTTAGAAGTTTGAGTACCGCCCTGTCTCAATAATATTATGTGCTCGTGTTTGGCAACAACGGATATAATCCGCCTTATCGGTTCATCGCATCGGAAACGAAAAAGCGAAAAAATTTGGAACGATGTTTTTACAATTATTTTGTTCAGTTATATACAGTCAGTGTCAGTCGGTAACGCGTGAGTGAATAGTGGTGTCTGTTGCGTGGCTCAAACGAGATCAAAAATGGCACATGTTTACGAAAATGCTGAACTTGTGGACATGATTCTTATTTACGCGGCATCACGGATTTATGCGGATCGGTTTTCCAATCGAGTGCAACCAACCCCTCGTGCCTTTGTTAATGTAGTACAAAGGGCTCGTGAACCAGGTGACTTAAGACCTCACAGGGGAGAGCATGCCGGTGCTCCAAGACCGCACGATCAAATACAGGTCCGCACTGAAATACTTGTCGCGAGGATACTTTATAAAACAAGGTAACACTTTTTTTTAATTTTTTTTTATTTTTACACACATATTTTGGTTTATCTTCCTTCTACAGTCATTATCTGAAAATTAATGACTCAACTTCAAAGTCACCCTGTATAAAAAACCCTGATGTGAACAGGTAAAGTATAATTTTAATTGTTTTTTTTTAGATATCAGTATATTGATTGTTGCTCACTGAAATTCTTAGAATGTACTCGATTTTGTTTGGCATTACTTGTGCGATGTTTAGGGGGTATTAACAAATCTTTAGCCCTAGTAGGGTAAGTATGGTCATCCTCTTGTTTTAAAAATGTTGAATTGTTTTTATACACAAAAATTGACAACTCGTTAGTTATTTGAAATATTTGCGCGACGTAGATTTCCTATGCTCTAAACCACATACTTCTGTAGCATAAAAACTCTATGCATCAAGGAGCTACATCCCTAACGTTTCATAACACCAGTGATATCTAAAGTTGGAACAATGAAACGTTAGTAAAACGTGATGAATAATAATTTGATAGGAATCTAATTCCATAACAACTTATCCGTAATTTGTGATTATACAGGAGGCTCCAAACTTAAATGATTATCAATGGTTATAAATTAATATCTGTATCTAAGGAATAGAGAAGATTGAATTGCCAAATTATCATTTAAACGAACACTGAAATCAGGATCATCTCTTAGTGAAAACTTCAAGACTTGTTGTGTGTTTTCTACATTCAATGTGGGCCCATTCGTTTCAGGCCATTCTTGTACATAGTTATGAATTTTTCTACTTTCATTTGCGTACGACACCAGTTAAGACTCATTACAGATGCTAGAGATAAATGCATTGAGGTCGTTAGCATACAATAGGAACAGGAAAGGCCCAAGTACAGATTCTTGTGGGACACCCATATTCAAAATATTCATCTAGCTATTTATCCCAATGCCAGATACATATTGCTTTCGTGTATGAACATATGACTGAAAAAGTACCACGAATTCCATACCTATACAGTTTTAACAGCAACAGTTCATTATCGACAGAATCAAAAGCACGAGTAAAGCTTATGAAAAGACCACATATTTGTTGTTCTTTATCAAGATCATTAATGATATTATCTGTAAATATAGTGTTTTAGTTTAGTACTTCAATTCATTTTCATTACAAAAACCATTTGACTTTTTTTCATATTCAGCTCGAAATTCGATAGTAGACTTATACGTCTGCATAATCTCAAGGCAGTATGAATGACGTTTTCTGCAATGTCAACTGCTTTACTTACAGATATTGGTGATTCGTCGATAGAAGCGGACCTCTGCCAGCCAATCGATGGTCCAGACATAAGAGTAGCCTGTTTCTGGTGTAGTGGTCGTACAGATTCAAAAGTGTCCTGTGGTGATATGGCAGATATGGAGGACAATGGTAATCCCGGCGTAGGAAGATTCTTTGTTGGAAGCAATCGCAAAGTTCCTGGAAGGATTGGTTACGAATTAGTCACCAAAAATACACGTAATGATCCAGCTACTAGAAGATAACAAGTTGCAACTTATTTTCGTCAAGGACGTTAGAAAGTGATGATGGTTCTATACTTGAAATAATATTGTAAGGTCCTAGCACAATGTTTCCACAAAGGTGGATATAGATACTAACACAGCCACACAAAAGGTTAAGATTGTTCCTTTATTTCCTATGCAGTAGCAGTAAAAAGGCATGTGTTTTAGTATTATATTCGTCATTGTTTCTCAGCGCGGCCCGTAGAACCTTTGCACTTAGTGACAGTACATCAGTAGGTCTGGTTGCCCAAATACCAGAAAAAGTCAGCGAGTGTTTTAGTACGTTTTAGACGTCATACGTCAGCATAGGTGCCCAAGCTATTCAAGAGAATGTAGCATGTGTTGAACTTATGGCCATTTTTCCGAAGCTTTACTGGCTGACCAGAAATGGCATAATTAGACGTTCACTTACTTTTTTTAAACAAGAGGTTGTGTCTCCTCATCTCGCGTTCTATTGGAAAATGCCCCAACTTCACTTCCTCTCGTATTTCTAGGTTATTTTGACATCTTCCCAAAACAGCTTCCACCTAGAGTAAAATAAATGGTTGTTATGATAAATTTGTACTCATAGCAAAATAGCGTTTGTTATGAATGTATGAGTAGTCTAACTGCAAATCTCACATTCTCCACTTCTTGGAATTGCACATCGACATGTATTTCCTTAGAAATTTCGATTCTAATTTGAGTCCTCTGGAGGCAGTAAAATGCCCTAACAATGATCATAAATACACAAAAACAACAAAATCCGCACACCAACAGATTTAATTGAAAGAAATATTTTGGTCTATGGGAGTGTTGGTTTCGAAGCTTGGAGATTCTTAGGAGAATGTTCTATGAAGTCTGCAAGTTCTGGCGCAGTACAACTCTTGTCACGTGATCTGATATAAAAGTTTTTAATTTGCCGATGGGGTGATGTTATTCTGTTATTCTGTATTTCTTATAGCAATCGAAGGCCAACCGTTTCTCCCTATAAATATACATAGCTTTTTCATTTATTATTTTTCACAATCCTTTTCCCAACATATCACTCATCAGTGACATGAACTGCGTCATACAAATGAAACACTCTAATACATATGGAAAAAACAAACAAATACATACGTAACACATCAGAAGCTATTAAAACCTACTAGTTAGGAAAGTGTTCAATAAGCTCATTTACATTACAAAAACAGCCATAGAGCTTTTGTTTACGTACACATTCAATTCCCATAACTTAGCAGGCAATATGTTAAAAAGTGTGCGATTTTTAAAATACATGTTATTCACTTTGCTAGCGATAAAAAGACCTTTATGGCGGGTATTGTAACTATGCATATCAGAATATTCCTTTAATTTATGTTTATTTTAGAAAAAATATACTAACAATATTAATATACAGACACATGTAACTATCAGAATGTGATGTAGACTGAATACACGTAAATTTTGGAATATTGACAATTAGCCTTAAAATTCGCTTTTGAAGCACAAATACAGTTTGAGCGTCCCTGGCTTAGAGCGTAGAGATAGCTGAGTAAGCTGTTGTGCAATAAACATCTATTAAACCTTCTAAATTCAAGAGATTTCTTAGCTCTTACTAAACTTATAGACACGTAACTTTCGAAATAGAGAATAAGCCATTATTAAATAAATTTTGTTAACAAGTACATTTTTTTAAATAGCGTCAAGTAAGTTGGCTCTGCACTTTCTACGTAATTCTGTCATCAATTCATAAATTATGTCGGTACAAGTTACCCCATCTGAGCTTCGATCATGTATAACAAGGAAATTAAATGGGTTAAGCCGCTCAAACAATAGTTATATGACAAGTTACTATGACAACCCCTAATTCTTAACTTGTACAAAAGTTTAATTGAAAATGATCAAGAGCCCCTGGAACGTCAACAAAATTAAGCTTTGACGGTTTTCGTTTTTTTGCTACCAGCTCCACCGCCACTAAACTGATTTTCAAAACTGTTAAAGCTTTTTTGTCCTTGGCATAGTAGTAATCTTGTGTGAAAATTATACAGGGTGGGCCATGAATTAGTCAACATTTGAAAAAATCGTATGAAAAAGAACATTTGACATATTAACCCTGGAGCGCTTAGGCGAATATCACGGCTATAGTTGCTTAGGCGGGGTTACCAATAACCCCAGTGATATATTCCTATTTAATGAACAAAATAGAAAAAATAGACACTTTTGTTTCAATAATAAAACATTTATTTCAAACACTCGGTACATATTTCAGCTCGATGATTACTGCAAACAGCCTTGAAACATTTCGCACAGGCAGTTTTTGTTTTTCGGTCATTTGTTCTTGGACATAAAATGCAGCGAGTCTGTTTTAGCAATTTTGCTGGAGGTGGATCAACTTTTTCTTCTGTTTTCATATCTAGAATATTCATTATTGATTCTTTCAATTTTCGAGGTATTGGTTTTGTCAAACGTCTTTCCATATGAGGCCTGACCAGTTGTAGTCCAAGTTCAAATAGGTATTTTCGACGAACGCTTTTTTGTCTATCACGCTTAACAATTTGAAAAATAATGTTGGATTTAATGCCTGCTTGATCCATTATACCATAAAAAAAGCGTAATGGCCACCTGCGTGTTTTGCGGGATACCGAATATGTGTGCACCATCTGGTCAAAGGTATCGACACCTCCTTTGGTAGAATTGTAAAAATTTATTATCTCAGGTTTTTTATTTTCATCTATTGTACTACCAGAATGCATTGTCGATAACAGTAGCACAGATTTAGACTTCTTGGGTGTGAAGGACACCAAGGTTTTTTGGTTGTCGAATCCAAATTGAGAAGACATAATTTCTTTTCGTTTGTTTGGGAGAAATGATGGAGGAATTTCCCTCTTGTTTTTGTCTGAGAGTACCCACAATGGTCAAATTGTAGTCAACAAGCATTTTGTCAGCCAGTGGGATGGAAGTAAACCAATTGTCCATCGTCAAATTGCGTCCGGTTCCGTGAATGGGTTCTGTCAGTTTTCTTACGTAATAAGCTGGGAGAGGTTCTTTATCTGGCCTAATTTCTTTGCCGATATATGGAATAGCAGTAACCATATAATATGTGCGTGAATCACACATCGTTACAACTTTGATTCCATATTTGCCAGGTTTTGATGAAATATATACTCTAAATGGGCAATTGCCTCGAAATCCCAATAGCTGTTCGTCGATGGTACAATAACTGTGAGGAGTATAGTATTTTGTACAGTTAGATATAAACATTTCCCATATATTACGTACTGGAGAAAATTTATCTTCTCGGTCTCTCATGGTTTTGTCGTCAAATCTGAGGCAAGATATCAAAAATCTAAACCTTGTTTCACTCATTACGCATCGATACACTTCTGGTCCATGCTTTGACCACATTTCTGCTGTAGTTAGATGATTGTCTTTTCTACAACCTGTCATATAAAGCAGTCCTAACAAAGCCAAGATCTCTTCAACGTCTGTCTCGTTAACAAAGCCACAATTAGCAACATATTTCCCTCTTTGTCATTCTATTTCCATATTTGTATGCACCACTATAATATCTATAACATTCGCGCTAAAAAATAACTTCCATGCCTCTAATTCCGTTGAAATATTTTTGGCCGCACCTTTTGGTCCTGGAATACATGAAACAATGTTTCGCTTAGGTGTTCGAATACGACATGGAAGCTCAGTGCTCCAAATATGTCCATTTTTTCCTTTTATTACTTTGCCAGGAAGTTGTTGTTCTGTCTCACTCTCTACTTCACTATCATCCGTTGAGTAGGTGCTCTCCCTGTCGGACTGAATTGAAACATGGTCGTCATAGTCAGTGCCGTCATTATCTGAATCAGGTTCATTGTCGAGTTCTTCATTCCATCGTAACAGAGTTTCTTCAAATTTGGGATCATCTGGTCGGACAGCCATCTAAATAAATTACGTAATCTAGTGTGTGGAATAAAATAAAAATACCAGTTTAAGCTTACCTGGGGTTACTCGTCACCCCAAACACAAAATATCATATAAACTATTGCACTGAACAAAAATGTGCGACCAACAACACACACGCTTTAACCTCAAATGAACATAGCGGGATCTCCGATGTTGCCAATTTATGCACAAAAAATTAGTGAACATTTGAATTTTCTTTGGGGTGCTGCGAAACCCCACTAAGCATTACAGGGTTAAAAACCGTTTATTCACAAGAAAGCTAATTAGTTGGAATTCATTTCTTGAAAATTATATCATCTAAATGACCACCGTTACGATTTTTGCACTCTTCTAAACGTGTACCGAAGTTTTCGAATACTTGTCGACATAAAGACTGCGAGATAGCCGTCATCTCTTCGTTGATGTTTTCTTTTAGTTGACGGAGTGTACTTGGTTTATTGATGTAGACACGACTCCTTAAATAACCCCGTAAAAAAAGTTTGGTGGGGCTAGATCTGGACTTCTGGGTGGCTAAGGGATGTCGCCTCGTCTGTAAATGAGCTTTTCAGAAACATTTCTTTGACCTCCAGCAGGGACTCGTTGGATGTGTGACACGTGGCTCCATCTTGTTGAAACTATGTGTTACGATTATAGCCAGCAAATTCCAGTAGCATGGGTGCCAAGACCTCCCCTAACATTTTCACATACTCAGCACAATTAACAGTAACTGAATGGCCGCTAGAATCTTCAAAGAAGTACGAGCCAATGATTCCTTTTGCTGAAATTGCAGCCCATACAGTTAGTTACTTTAGGAGAGTAAAGTGACTTCTCGTGTTTAGCTTTGGGATTTTCGCTGCTCCAGTACCTGCAATTCTGTTTATTCACATGTCCGTTGAGGTGGAAATGGGCTTCGTCAGAAAATAAGAGATTGTCAAAATTACTGAATCGAGCTAACATCGTTTCGGCATATGACTTGCGCAAATTTAAATCATTAGGTTTTAGTTCCTGCACTATCTGGATCTTATATGGATGTAATTTCAAATCTAATCTCAAAATACGACGTAATGATGTGCGGGATAATAAACTTGCTGCACGTTCTCTTCGCTCCGTGCAGTCCCTGGGCCGCCGGTTTGGTTCACATTCTTCGAACTTCTTCACCCATTTATTTATCAAAGGATCACTTGGACACTGACTTAAGTCGTGTAAATTGTATTCAACGCGAAATAAGCGTCTCACAGTAATGAGCGAACTGTTGTTTAAATAAAATTGCACACAGCACACAGTCAGCGCGTTGCGACCCCATGAAGCGATCCATTGCGACTGAATTTCCGAGAAACAAATTGGCGACTAAACTCTGGGCGCTGAAGAAAGACATTAAACGTAAACAGTGATCAGCACGTGAACAGATCCCTCGAAAGCATCCACGGATATACTCCAGTCACTTTAGGTCTAAACATCCTCGGCAGTGTATTTCTAGTGAATCCACAGACCCTTTTTCGTGTCATCTTGAGACTAGAAAAAGGATGACTGTTAAAATAAGTTACCTTGATCTTTCATGAGCTCCCAGTACAAAACATCATCGATATATTTTTGATGTAGGAACAACAAATTGGTTTAGAAAACATCCACTTTGAACCTAAATTGACTGGAGTAACATCGATCTACAGACAAATTCAAGGTCACTAGCAGTCGTCGGCGCTCTACGAATCTGCACAGGTTTGGACTTGTAAACGTGATTGTAGATGACACGACAGGCATCTAACAGTTAATTCACGCACAGGATTGCATTGCATACGCATTACGCATTCAGTAGCGTATACTCGTTTTTCGGGAGTGGAACGTTTTGTTTATATATTGCCTAAGATACGATGTCTGACACAGATACAGCCGACGAAGTGGTTGACATCAGCGCAACCCCACCCAAAAAAAGAGCAAAGAAGCTACATTTAAGTGCAAATGAAAAACAAATAATATTAAATATATACAAAAACCAAATTCAAGAAAAACCCGATTTGGTCGTGGACGAAGTTATATGTAAGGTAGCACATATTTCTGGAGTATGTCGGTCCAGTGTTTATAGGATCATTAAGGAATATAGGAGCACTCACTCACTTTCTGAGCCAAAACCGCATCCTGCAAGAAAAAGGATAACGGACGGAGTAGATGACTTTGACAGAACTGCCATCAGGAGGAAAGTGCATAATTTTTTCTTCCGAAATGAGATACCTACAGTAAATTAGATATTAAGATTAGTTAATGCTGATGAGGATCTTCCATCATTTAAAAGAACCACATTCCGAAAACTTTTGAAGGAACTTAATTTTCGATTCTTGAAACGGGGAAGAAACAGTATGTTAATAGAGAAAGAAGAAATTGTTGTGTGGAGAAGGGAATACCTTAGGAAGATTCGGAAGTTTCGCGATGAAAAAAGAAAAATTTACGATTTGGACAAAACGTGGGTGAATGCTGGACATACTCAAGCGAAAGTTTGGGTCGACAAATCAGTAACATCATCAAGGCAGGCTTTTCTAGACGGTCTTTCGGCTGGATTGAAAGTAAGCTCCTTCATCTATCCGGCAATTTAATTTTGATAAATTCGGGCAAATAATATGCTGTGATAGCAGATAATGTGTGATATTCTCCAAAAATGGTGCATTCGCAGTGTAGTCATTAGGAAAAAAACTTCGACCCTCTTTTAAGCGTTATTTTGAAATTTATTATCATTTTTGGGTGCAGTCAAGTTGCTTTGAATGGGTTTTGAGAAGTTGCAAACTTCAATTTTCTACGTTTTTCAGTTTTTGATCAGCATTCCGTGACTCTTAAATTCAGCTAAATAAACTCAATTGCCTCATTCCTTCAAATTTAATCAATCCATAGTGTAAGGAATAATTTATTTCCAGGAAAAGGCAAACGGCTGATCATTTGTCACGTAGGTAGTGAAGACGGCTTTGTTCCCGAAGCACTGTAGGCCTTTGAATCAAAAAAGACAGGGGACTATCATGAGGAGATGGACGGCAATTCCTTTGAAAATTGGTTCTCCAAAATGTTACTAAAGCTGGAGAATAACGCTGTTATTGTACTGGATAATGCCCCGTACCATTCTAGAAAAATAGAAAAAATTCCCACAATGGCAACTAAAAAAGCAAACATACAACAATGGCTGGCCTCAAAACAGATCGATTTTGATGAAACAATGGTCAAGGGTGAATTGATAAGTATAGTCAATAGACATAAATACAAATACGATTTTAAAATGATCGACGAAATGGCCAAAAAACAAAATAAAACTGTCTTGAGACTGCCACCCTACCATTGTGAGCTGAACCCTATTGAGCTGATTTGGGCCAACATAAAGCAATACGTGGCGTCGAATAATAATACTTATAAATTTTCTGATGTTAAAAATCTCTTTCACATCGCAGTCAATAGAGTTACGGCAGAGGAATGGAAAAACTGTATCCGCCACGTTCGGGAGAAGGTCAAAATGTGGGATTTGGACAATGTCATCGATACCCAAATTGAACCTCTAATAATTCATTTAAACGATTCAGAAGATTCAAGTTCCTCTTCTGAATGAGTGCGCGCAGCTTACTTACTAATAACTAAAAAGTGTAGTTAACTCATTTGTGAATCTCTAACAGAAATTTATTGTAAAAGATAATAATTATCTTGTATGAAATTTTTGATGACTACCCTTAATATCTTGATGCGGTCCTGTAATGTCTCCTGCGCCTAAACACTCACTCACGAGCAATATGCGTGTATTTGTTTGGGATTAGTTTCTTTCTTCAGCGCCTAGAGTATAGTCCCCTCCCAGCGCTTTGCGCGGCATCTGTTTACGTGGTGTATTAGATTCAGATGTTAACGAATTCTTGGCCCACCCTGTATAAAAAAGCGAAACATTCCAAGTTACAGACGGGCCAATGGTCGAAACACCAACGGACATACGGATGAATATAAGTGATATAATTGTTCGTTATGTACATGTCTTATGGCATCCAGAAAAACGTAACATCTCGTAACTCTCGCGATTACAATACTTCCACGCCAGTGTCGTAGGAAATAAAATAAGAAAAAACTGAAAATAAAGCTGTTCTAATTCTGTAATCAAGACGAATCTAATGACACATCAAATGTCAAAAACCATCAAGCCATTTAGTCTGTGGTCTATCAAATAGAAATTTGAAAGTCGATTTTCGTGATTTTGATTTCATAAAATTTTAATATACTCTGTGACACTCGCACTGTCACAACAAATCTAGAGATATGTCAAAATCCAGCAAGCTATTTAAGTTGTAGATCACTATTCGTCATTTATTTGTCTGGGCGGTCCGTAGGACCTTTGCCCATTAGTCACTGTCTGATGAACGTTAGTCGAATCTGTCAGTCCTGGTTGCCCAGAAACCATTCAAAGTCAAGGAAAAAGAGAAAGGGAAAGAGAAGAAAAAAAAGGAGAAGAGCAAAGAAAAACAGATATGCTTAGTTTAAGAGGAAACACCTAGGCTTTTTGACTTGGTACACGGATTAATTTTGAGGTGAACTAAACAAATTTTTGATTCGGTTTTGTTAGAGTATAATTTTGAGTTTACTAAAGATTCACGCTAACTTTTGATTACAGTGCGTGCCGTGGCCTTGAATGTTTACGAACTTGCTCCACTGTGCAGTCCACTGAGTCACGCAACAGAGGGTTGCTGTGCGATTCCGCTTGACTATAACGTCGCTGCGCCTGACGCTTGACATAGTCCCTCAAGTAAGGAATGTCAAGGTCTCTGTGTAGTGTCTCATTTGAGAAATACCATGGAGCGTTGCAAATTGTCCGCAAAGTTGTGCTTTGCAGTACTTGAAGACTTTGCATGTGTGTCTTGGCAAGAAAACACCAAGCCGCACATGCATAAGTAATGGCTGGTCTAATAATCATTTTATATAGTCGAACTTTGTTTATCAAACTCAATTTGGAGGATCTACATAACAACGGATATAGTTGCCGAAACGCAATTTGGAATTTTGTTTTTATGGATGCTGTATGTTTCTGCCAGGTCATGCCTTTATCAAGGGTGACACCGAAATACTTGGCAGAATTTGTCCATGGTACACGATTTCCGTCTACAGAAACCTCTGCTGGGGGGCCGCGACGTTTTTTGGTACAATAAATAGCCTGCGTTTTCGAATGATTAATTTTTATCAGCCACCGTTCCGCCCACTCTAGAACTTCGTCCACCGCATTCTGCAACCCATCGTGAACCAGATCACCAGTACACGACTGGGCGACAAGTGCAGTGTCGTCAGCATAGAGGTAGACTTCACAGTTGCTGGGGGAAGGGACATCATGGATGAAAAGCGAATAAAGAATTGGTCCTAGGACCGAACCCTGAGGAACACCGGCCCGTACTGGCCGTGTTGTTGACAAAACATTGTTAATTTTGATCCGAAACTTCCTTCCTTCAAGAAAGGATTTCAGTAATTTTAGAAGCCAAAAAGTTGTAGATCACGAAACAGAAATTTCTAAGTTTAAATTTTCGGTTAAGATCACCCATCCATCAAGCTGTTTGGACTGTAGCCCATTAAAGATGGTTATTCTTATCCACGCGCATACACACGCTCGCAAAACATAACCCTCCTTCTCCTCGGATAAACATCAAGTTACCCAAAACATTATTAACAACTGATGACGTCATTTAAGTATCCTTATTTCCAAGAACTGGTTTTCGGAGAACTTGACTACTTCTGCACATTTCCGAACACAAGAGATTGGTAGTTTGGATAGGTAGTACTTACATGGAGTACACACCAGCAGATAAACAAAGAGCACAGCTTAAAGTTAGGTATCACGGTAGTACTTGGAATGTCCAGTTCGAAGTCAAATGTACGCTCGCCCTTCCCGCCAATGTTTTGTATGAAGTCGTACGCTATTAGCTCTTCATTTGTCTTGCGTTTCGTCTTGGGATGGGTGGCTTTCGTTTCTATGAACTGCAAAGGAAGTGGAATTGAAAACTTAAAGACTGTAGTTTCTGGGATTTTGAATAGTCTAAATATTAACGTACTGTACAAAATCATGCAAGATATTCAGCACCTATCACAAAGTAACAGCCATGTTTTTATACGCAAAGAGGTGAGAACTGCCACCTATAAATATTTCCTCAAAGCTTAGCACATCTTCGGTCCAAATGCTCAAAATGCAGAGAACCTCAACATATTTGGTTTTCACTGATTAACAGTTACAATTCTATAAGCGCCCAAAATCATTAAAAGGGCGACCCGTCAAACAGCCGAAATACGACGTATTCAAGGCTACTAGCAATGGCGTGCTATTTAAAATTGCATAAATACAGGGTGTTTCTTAATGATATGCCAATATTTAAGGATGTGAATCTACATGAAAAATTAATGCTAGTTTGGTTTATAAACTATGTTCCAAAAATGTTTCCTTACAAAAAGGAAGTTTAAGGAAATAATGGAAAGCTAACATTAATTTTTCATGTAGATTCACATCCTCAAATATTCGTATATCATTAAGGAACACCCTGTATATATACTAAGTGACATATAAATCCGAACACCCAGTTTAAATGATTTCATTTTAACCCATTAATGCCCAGAATTATTTTTTTCTGGCATTTCACTTAATCTTTTGATATGTTATCATTATTTGGTAACATTTTCATATAAAATTATGATTTTATAAAAATTATGGTTTTGAAGTAGTTTTTTTTGATGTATGATAAATCATACGCTGGGCTACAGTAGGATGAAAAAAAGTCAAAAACAATGGTATATCTAATACGTATATACGTATATTAAAAGAAACAATTATAGAATAATACATCCATAAAAAGCCCAAAGAATACTTCTGGTGATATTGTCGGAAACATTTATCTGGATGTAGACCTATATTGCATTTTACACAGGAAATTTTTGTACATTTTCCACATTTTCCACAACGACGCTGCGTCTCCTGTCGGTCAATCCAGTGCTCTTTTCCATCGTATCGAACTTCTGATAGAACCTTACAGGATAGTTTTGGTTTTGGACCAGTATTTGAGTTTGAAGGTGGCGCAGCTAAAAGCGCTAGGACTATTCTTCTACGAAATTCAAGGAGTGATATAGATTCATTCCTTGATAGAAGTGCCTGACGATATAAATACCACATATTGACAATAGATCCATCCAGGCAAAAGCGAATCAACGGCCAGTGCCATTTTTTCGACCTAATCCTAGATCTATACAAGCCTCTCATTTGGTCGAATCGATCGACACCTCCCATTCCTTTATTATATAAATGTACTAGAGACGATTGATCAACTTGGATAGCAGATTTGTCCTTCTTCGACCATCGTTTACACGAGCCTTTCGTCTGGTAAAGGGTTTTGTCTTGTACATTTGATATAACAGTAACTTGACTATTGTCATGCCAACGTGTCAATGTTATGTTGGATGTTGAGTCATGAATTGTGTAGTGACTACCCCTATTCTCCTTTTTTAAATCTTTGAGAGGAGCTTTCTCTACTCGATCTGATCTTACCGTACCCACACAGTATAGTTTATTAGCTGTTAGGGTTTCTAATAGAGGAATAGAGGTAAAATAGTTATCTAGGAAAATGGTACTATTTTGTTCTAAAAAATTTAGGCACAGTTTCTCAGTTACACTTGAGCCAAGTGATTTGCCTTCTATTTTGTCTCCTGCACCGGTATAAACATTAAATTTGACGAGATATCCATCATAGGTACCTAAACACCAGAATTTGAAGCCAAAGCATATGGGCTTTCCTCTAATGAATTGCTTCATATGATGTCTCCCATAATAAGGCTCCATTGCCTCATCTACAGAAAGGTATTTTCCTAATGGAGAAATACATTCCTGTGATATTTTATTTAGGTGGTCGATCAAGGGTCTAATCTTATAAATTTTATCATTCTTATCAATTTTACTGTTATCGTTCAAGTGAAAAAATCTGTGGATATTTTCAAACTTATTTCTTGACAACGCGTTTGTAACTAGAGGGTTATTGGTATCCATTCGTGTTTCCCAGTAGCAGCGTTTGGAAGGTACTGGACTATACCCAGACAAGAGAATTATAGCTAGATATTTATAGATATCTTCAGCTGTGACTGAGAAACCATGAAATCCCTTCTGGTCGGCATATCTTTTTGTTTCTATACACATTGTGGTGATTATATCTTCACTAAAAAAAACTTTGAACAAATCGATCGGCGCCATATTTCTCTCTAATATATCGGTAAGAATACAGGGAGTATTTTCCTTTAGTAACTCAATTCGCTGGTCTCGTGGTTCAAGGGTTATTTCTTGCCATGCTCTATTGACTTTTTGTGTACTTTTTCTGACAGAAGGAATTTGAATTTTCAGTCTTTTCTGCTTATCAGCCAGGGTTTCATCATCACTCTCTTCCCAGTTCTGGTCACTTGGTCGGATTTGTAGAGGAGACTGAATTCCAGTTTTGATTGGAGATTTCTCTTTATTCTTGTTAACAGCAAAAACATCTACTTTCTGAGAGAGAATACCCTTTCCCAGATCTCTGATACTAGGTACCATATCGTCATCACTGTGAGCATCATCTTGGTCGCTGTCCATGGCATCGTCGGGAGGAACTAACGCGACTTCTAAGCTCTCTGCACTTTGAAACTGCTCATGAGCTTCATCGTCTGAGTCTAGGCAGTGGAAGTAGTTCATCAGCTCCTCCAAGTCCTTTGGATTCTCTGGATTATACAAAGTTTTCCTGTAAAATATAGTGAATATCAAATAATAATAATAATAATAATACCTACTGTGGACCAGCGTATGATATATCATACGTGACACAAAAAGTCTCGAATCAATGGTAAATTAAAATTTTAACATTTGTCGAAAATGGAAATACTTGGAGCAATCCCCAAGGCACAGAAACGGACAAAGTAAACAACAAATAAAATAACTGATTTCATGGAAATAATGAATAACTTACCTGGTACTCATTCCGATGGTGAATGTGAACCTCTCGTTCTTATAACAGATCACTAAGCCATATGAGTCATAATAGAACTGAATTGCAATGTTGTATTATCAATATTAGACCTATCTACACTGAAACATTTGCATAACCGCTCGCTATCCCGCTAACGCAAGATATAACATAACCTCAAATGGCCACGTGTTTTACGTATGATGAATCATACGCTGGGAGCTACTGGGTTAATAAAATTTTGTATAAGTACTTAATGAAGCATAATAAGTAATTGATAAAAATTTCAAAATGATTGCACTGCTTTAAAGCCCTTTGACCTTTAATAATGTGTGGATGCACCCTGATGTGCTACGCATTCTCCAACGCGCCTAGGCATGCTTCTGATCAGGTAGTCAATGTCCTCCTGTGGTATCTCTTTCCAGGCGACCACGAACTCCTCTCGAAGTGCTTCTAGAGTCTGAGGAGGACGTTGCAAATTAAGCAATCTCCTACCCATCATATCCCACACGTGCTCAATTGGGGATAAGTCGGGAGATCTTGGTGGCCATGGTAACAATGTGACATCATTATGTTGAAAGAAGTCTATTGTGACTCTTGCAACATTTGGTCGGGCATTATCTTGTTGGAAAGTTGGATTTGCCAGGGTGTCAAGATAGGGTAAAAGATGGGGTTCTAGAACTTCGTGGATATAACGCTGCGCGTTCATGTTACCTCTGATGCAGATTAAAGGTGACCTGGAACCATAAGCTATAGCACCCCAAACCATAACTCCAACAGTGTGATGAACATGTCTTTCAACAAAAAACTGTGGATTCCTCCTTTCACCACGTCGCCTTCTAACCCTGGCACGACCATCGTGCATGCCTAAACAAAATCGAGACTCGTCACTAAAGACAATACTGTTCCATTCCTGATCCCAGAGTGACCGTTGTCTGAACCACTCAAGGCAATTACGTCGGTGTTCTCGAGTTAAAGTGGCCGGTATGAAAACAAGCCAAAACTTCTCATTCGTCGGTAAACACTTCGCATGCCAATATGTCTTCCGTGTTCTGCAAACCATTCATTTGCAATGGACCTGGTAGTGGAGAAACGGTCCCTTAAGGCCAATAATCTTAGGCGGCGATCTTCGCGGTCTGTTGTTCTACGGCGGCGTCCAGTGCCCCTTGCTCTTTGCGTACGGCCTTCTCGAAGCCATGCCTGACAACACCTAAACACAGTGTCTACACTTCTTTGAACTCTAACTGCAATTGCCCGAAAAGAAAGTCCAACTTCCCGAAGTCCCACTATACGGCCCCTATCAAACTCACTACGTTGACGAAATCGTACAGGTCTCCGTACTCTAGGCATCGTAACCGATCGTAAAGGATGTCAAGAACCAAAATCCGCCAACGTTGATTCTTTACTGCGGCTGAAATATTCATGTTTAGAGCGTTAGTGAATTAAAAAAAAGCAGTATAAAAACCGGAATGTCCAACTGATAAGGCTGAAAATTTTTTCACATGTTATTTACAGTAAGATAAATACATTCACCAACTTTTATTAAAATAAAACCATTTAAACTGGGTGTACGGATTTATATGTCACTTAGTATACATTTACATGAACGAATATCAAAAGTAATAAAAACGAAAATATTCATGTTCATAGAAACCGGGGTAGTATGACTCTTACATAAGGAAAATTTAAGTGCTACAATAAAAAAAATACCCACCATCTTCAGTTTCACTTTTATGGCTTCTATTTTCACGTCCGAACTGTTGTATGTGTGAACCTTCATTCGCGACGTCTGTGTCTGGACGAACGTTTTGTTCTTCAGCTCAAGTTGCATTGTAACTGAGCCACCATTGATACAGCAATGAGGAGTGATATCTTCCTTATCTTCTAATCGTACCGCGTCCTGAAACACCATCGATAATACAGTTGCGATCATGTTGCGATACGCTGTTAGGATACCAAAATGGAAGAGATCAGCACACACGTACACAATGATATACCGCGTTGACAGTAGAGCATAGGATCAGTTAGGCTGCTCTCTTCTATTTCATGTCTATGTTTCATTAAAAAAGCAATATGCTGAATACCTGTGGCAAACTGGCTAATTCTATCGGCGACATAATGTCGATTTCCCTTTCGTCTTCACAATCTGAATCTGTCGTCGTATATACTTCAGCCTTAATGTAGTATCTAATATAGCCATACTCGTTCTGATAACTTCCAGGTAACTCTTTAGGTAATACGAAACTGAAGGAGTATTCGTGACGACCTACATTGAATGTATCTAGAACAAGTCAACAGAAAAATGTAATGCTTGTTTTCATTTCAGCTTGATTTTATAATTAACGTACTCATTGCCGTCAGAGTTAGCAGGCCGCCAGCTCACTGGCTTGCAGATAATCTTAAACTGATTCTCAAGGACAGGAATAGGTCACACTTACAAGTTGAATAGAACCGAAGAACATCTTAGGCACTTCAAAGAGATGAGGAACTTTGCATTGATGGCAATGAGAACAGAAAAACGTGCATATCTTAAGTATACTAAGTGACATATAAATCCGAACACCCAGTTTAAATGGTTTTATTTTAATAAAAGTTGGTGAATGTATTTATCTTACTGTAAATAACAAGTGAAAAAATGTTCAGCCTTATCAATTGGACATTCTGGTTTTTATACTGTTTTTTTTTTAATTCACTAACGCTCTAAAAATGAATATTTCAGCCGCAGTAAAGAATCAACGTTGGCGGATTTTGGTTCTTGACATCCTTTACGATCGGTTACGATGCCTAGAGTACGGAGACCTGTACGATTTCGTCAACTTAGTGAATTTGATAGGGACCGTATAGTGGGACTTCGGGAAGCTGGACTTTCTTTTCGGGCAATTGCAGTTAGAGTGCAAAGAATTGTAGACACTGTGGTTAGGTGTTGTCAGGCATGGCTTCGAGAAGGCCGTACGCAAAGATCAAGGGGCACTGGACGCCGCCGTAGAACAACAGACCGTGAAGATCGCCGCCTAAGATTATTGGCCTTAAGGGACCGTTTCTCCACTACCAGGTCCATTGCAAATGAATGGTTTGCAGAACACGGAAGACCTATTGGCATGCGAAGTGTTTACCTACGAATGAGAAGTTTTGGCTTGTTTTCATACCGGCCACAATGGGTCCTCCCTTTAACTCGAGAACACCGACGTAATCGCCTTGAGTGGTGCAGACAACTGTCACTCTGGGATCAGGAATGGAACAGTATTATCTTTAGTGACGAGTCTCGATGTTGTTTAGGCATGCACGATGGTCGTGCCAGGGTTAGAAGGCGACGTGGTGAAAGGAGGAATCCACACTTTTTTGTTGAAAGACATGTTCATCACACTGTTGGAGTTATGGTTTGGGGTGCTATAGCTTATGGTTCCAGGTCACCTTTAATCTTCATCAGAGGTAACATGAACGCGCAGCGTTATATCCACGAAGTTCTAGAACCCCATATTTTACCTTATCTTGACACCCTGGCAGATCCAACTTTCCAACAAGATAATGCCCGACCACATGTTGCAAGAGTCACAATAGACTTCTTTCAACATAATGATGTCACATTGTTACCATGACCACCAAGATCTCCCGACTTATCTCCAATTGAGCTCGTGTGGGATATGATGGGTAGGAGATTGCTCAATTGGCAACGTCCTCCTCAGACTCTAGAAGCACTTCGAGAGGAGTTGGTGGTTGCCTGGAATGAGATACCACAGGAGGACATTGACCACCTGATCAGAAGCATGCCTAGGCGCGTTGGAGAATGCGTAGCACATCAGGGTGCATCCACACATTATTAAAGGTCAAAGGGCTTTAAAGCAGTGCAATCATTTTGAAATTGTTATCATTTACTTATTATGCTTCATTAAGTACTTATACAAAATTTTATTAAAATAAAACGATTTAAACTGGGTGTTCGGATTTATATGTCACTTAGTATATTTGTATTCTCACAGAAATAATAGGCAATTTTGGAAAACTCTGAAAAACATGAATATAAGTAATTCCTATTCCTTTTCACATCCGCGATCCTTAAGAGATCCTAATGAAATAAACAGGTGCATGTGTCTGCATATACTGAAAATAATGAATCTAATGCTCTTATTACCAGATATTACTCCAGCAAAATGCCGCTGTATATGTAAAATACCATATTAGTATTTCAAATTAGCATTAAGCTTTAGTCTTTAGAAAGGTTGAGTGTAAGAATGTATGTGCTAAACTCCGCCGATAAAGCCGTTTATTATTATTATTATTATTAACTGAATGCAGTATTTGTATTATATATCTATTTCTATTTTTAATAGCGCAATATGGATATATAGGTCTAATTTAAAAACGATATTTTTCATTTTGTACTACGAAATGGTGAAAACAATGTCGGTGATGACGTGACGTCATATATTGTAAACAAAGGAACGTCATCTGTATGGACTAAAGTTGCCTTTTTTAAATATTTCTGAAAAACCCCTAATCAACGTAAAACGTTATCGCTTTCTCGCTTAATTGAAAGAAACGATCATGGACGTTGGATACGTAGAAGCAAAAAGCACAAATTTACCGAAAATTGACTCATTGATAGTTTGCAACTTTTGTGCTTTCAACCCAGATTTCCACTCTTTTGAGCTGAGGAACATCAAGGCTTCTATGTAAGTACAGTGAATCTGATATAATGATAGATATAAAAAGAGAGAATAAATAATTACACTTACATAACCTGAATAATTTTATCTAATATTTTATTTATTCTTAAATATCTGCAAGGGAATCGTACGGTGATGATGTCTTAGGTTACCTCCTACTTATAGTGGATACCAAATAAAACCCGATGCACGTCATCGATCTGGAGCTGTGCGCTGTTGCCAGAATTTGCACATTTTCTTTTAAGCAAATAAATTTAATAAAATAAATTGTTTATATATACCTACCATTTACTATAATACCATTATATTAAAAATAAATAAACTTGTTGTAAAATTAAATTCCTTTCTGAATAAAAACACCTGATTTTGGTAGATATTCAATGATATGAGCTCTTTACACCGACTGTTAAGTTGTTTTGGCATTTTGGATACTTTACACCACTTCACAGTAACTGTTGTTCTGAAAAGAACAATTTTTAATTGGCAAGGCAATGATTCAAAGCTCAAATAGCGCAAAACTCACAAACTAAACAATAAAGAACTAATAGTACGACAAAAGGACAATGGCAACTGATGTCAACAAATGAGAAGTGGCAACCTCACATTTCTCTACACGGCACTACCAACCGAATCGAGACGGGGAAATTTAAACTTCAAGTAGAAATGTCACATTGAATGTAGTCAACTGTTGGTAACCATGATTTTTATGAATGACATCACCTATGACGTGCATCGGATTTTATTTGGTATCCACTATACACGAGGCGATAAAATCTGCACAGTAAAATATAAAATGTATTCGGTATACGCTCCAAGCAATAAATAGTGTTGCGTATATTTTTCCCTGGGCACTCTAATCAACAGCTTTCTTGGAGTCCTTATCGATGTGTTTTTAAATTCTCGGACGATTCAAAGACCATAATTACAATATTTTTATGTAAACTAGTATAAATCATGTTTATGTGCTTATATGTTTGAGAAGTTATGCTGCTGTCATCTGCTGTTTACATATGGTATGGCGTCAGAACACCTTAATATAGACCAAACATGGCGACAACGCATGTTTCAGAAAAATATATTTTTAAATAAAGTTTTACGATCATTTAGGTCCGAGTATTAATTTTTTGGCTTAATGGAAAAAAATTTAAACTGTATAGGACCTACTAAAAGTGTCAACTAGCATATTTTAAATTGTTGACGCATATGAAAAGGCCATCAGGTATCTAGATCGTAGATACATGCTTTCACAACTCTCAGTGTTGCTGTCGCGAGAGTTTTCGAATCCGCTTTTTTCTTAGGAATTCAAACTTTGCCGCTGTTTTTTTAAGTACCTAATTTTCCGATCAGTTTGGGGCATAATCAGAAAATCAGTTAAGATGATACAAAAGGCCTAATTTTACCAAAAATGGTCAAACTACTATCTTATTGTGAAGCAAGGCTACAAGCCACTAGTGAGTAATACACTAGTTATCAGCCTTAATTCATAATTACTGACAAGACAAGCGATTCCCACAAGAACTACAGTGACGTAGAAAGCAAATATAGAACAGTAGGTGTATTTAAAAGAAACTTTTCATATGTTTTCCGACTCAAGGCGTGTTTTGTTGTAGGTGTAGGTAGGTGTTTTTTGTCAGGATCAAGGTCATCATTGCTTGGAATAAACCTTCAAACAAACTAAAGATTCGTGGTTTTTTATTTATTTTTGAGTAATTCGTAACATACGATCATTGCCCATGTTAGGCGCTAACACACTGATGAAATAATTTACATTATGCTTGTCGGCTAATTTGTCTGGTTAGGCTTCAAGTATTTTGAGCCCAAAACATTTTCAAATGTTCCTCCAGGTAACCAGAATCTTCTGAAATATAATACAATACCAATGGCGGACTAGGAGGGGGCGACCATCCCCCCCCTAGATGTCGAAGAAATATTTTTTTCAAGAAAATTTATTGCTGTATCTTGGTGTAAAAATTACGTTGCTAGATCTGATCCTGAGAAGTGTGCTCCTCTCTAGAAGTACCCAACCCCCGGCTCTTCAATTGTCACAAAAGCATTTGCTCTCAGAAGCACTGCAACATCTGAGCAGATTCTTAAATTCTCCCTTGTATACAACTGTGCTCTTACCTATGAACGGAAAATGTATTTTTCATTTTCTTTAACGACATCACCCACGTGTCCTGGCAACGATTACATTCTGATGGTTGTAAATTCTGTAACCTTGATTTGTTGTACTGGGCGCTTAAGTACTTTAAGAATAGTCCTAATCTTCAACACACGAACTTTTATTTTTTTTTTGCAAAGATGCAACTTTGTCGCTCGCTATAACTTAATTCACCTATTATCGTAAACAACGAGAGATGTCTCTATTTATTTGTTGCTAGCCTGTTAGAGCCCAGAGCGCATCGCACCTTAACGGCATACATAATAATAATGCTTATTGGTCCAATTACAAAGTTTTCGCATAAATAATAACGGCAATGTCCAATAAACATGATATACACAAAAAAGTGTACACTTGTGCTTGGGTTTTAACCGAAGTTGAGTTATATTAATAAAACAAATTTTCTTTAAGTATACAAGTCAAATGTATAAATTTGTATCATTTTATGATAAAATAAAATATAGGTCTTTAGTCTCAACAAACTTATGGATTTGTAGCCTTCGTTGATTTAGGACCCATGATTTTAATTCAACATTTAAACGATTTTACATTTTATATGTTTAAGGTTTGCAGGAATAATATTATACAATTTTGAGCATCGAAAATCGAATGATCTTTGGCTGATAGTTTTATTAAGTTTAGGAATTAGTACAGAGGTTTCCTTGAATCGCGTTTGATGGTTGTGGCTGATAGAAAGTAACAATTTTGGATTTTTTGTTAAATACAGAAGTCGACGTCAAGCCGAAACCGGGTGATAGGCAAAGTCATAACAGCTATCAGAAAAATATTTGAAAAAACTTTATGTATGTGTTTTGAAAATTGTAGGTCTTTGAAAAAGATATAGAAATTTCACACCCTACGGCAGTCTGCCAACTCCTGTTACTACAAATATTAACTTTTTTTGGATTTTATTTTTACAATGTAATGATGAATAATGCATCTTCAAACTGGTGTCTCAACCTTACTGCCAACTTTTCTCGTTCAGGAAAAATTGCCACTTATTTCCCAACCAAGTATTCCAAAGTAAAACGTTGCTCAACTTTAACTGGCTGTACTGGAAAAAAATGAACTACGAGAGTTTGGCAAGTAACCTCAAAAGTTGGCGCATTTAATAACGATTCCAAAATGGTATAACACTTAGAAGATTACTCGTTAACTTATGCACAATATTTATTTGAAAAAAAACTGATGAAAATTTTTTAAAATTTCCTAATTAAACAGCGATTATGAAAACGCACAAGGACCCTTAAGGATAACTGTGGGCGTCAAAATGCTGCTGATGATGATTTACCTTTACAGCAAATGCTCAAACTGTTTTCCTTCAGCCGCAATACACGCTCGACATCTTCTTAAAAAAGATCGGGTTATTAAACGAGCGAATCCACGGTTATTAACAAACTCAGCTGCTTCCAATAGTCTTTGCCGTAGCTCAGCTACATTTTGAATCGGCTTGAAATACACTTTTTCTTTTACAGTTCCCAGTAAAAAAATCTAAAGGATTCAAATCAGGTGATCGAGCTGGCCACGGTATTGTACCAGACCGCCTTATCCATCTGCCTGGAAAGTTTTGATCAAAATACTCTCTCACTGAGAGTGCATAGTGCGCTGGGCAGCCATCATGCTGAAACCACATGTCCCTGTAAATACTCAGTGGCACGTCCACCAATAAATTTTGTACATGATTTTTAAAAAATTCCAAATAAACTTCATCAGTCAAGGTCTCTGGGAACTCAAACGGACCGATTATTTTACCATTTAAAATTCCTGTCCCCCCTGTAAAGATGCGCAGTAAACGAAGGAGTACTGATCGGTATCAAAGTGTGCAATAGCAAGTAAGTGATGTGCTTTATCCATACCACGTACAGCGTGTTCAAGCTCTTCTGCCCCGGGATTATGAGCCCCGAGTTGCTTTTTGTCGCACAATGTTAGAAAGACACACGGAAGATCCACGGTCCTTTGAAAAAATTTTATGGTCAGATGAGACCACATTTAAGAAAGATGGGTACATGAACCTGCATAACTTACACGAGTGGCACGTAGCAAACCCACATTTGATGAGAGAAGATAAATCTCAATATCGCTTCAAGATAAACCATTGGACAGCAATTTTAAATGGTAAAATAATCGGTCCATTTGAGTTCCCAGAGACTTTGACTGCTGAGGTTTATTTAGGCTTTTTGCAAAATCATTTAGAAAATTTATTGGAGGACGTGCCACTGAGTATTTACAGGGACATGTGGTTTCAGCATGATGACTGCCCAGCGCACTATGCACTCTCAGTGAGAGAGTATCTCGATCAAAACTTTCCATGCAGATGGATAGGGCGGTCTGGTACAATACCGTGGCCAGCCCGGTCACCAGATTTGAATCCGTTAGATTTATTTTACTGGGGAACCGTTAAAGAAAAAGTGTATTTCAAGCCGATTCAAAATGTAGCTGAGCTACGGCAAAGACTATTGGATGCAGCTGAGTTTGTTAATAACCGTGGATTCGCTCGTTTAATAACCCGATCCTTTTTAAGAAGATGTCGAGCGTGTATTGCGGCTGAAGGAAAACAGTTTGAGCAGTTACTGTAAAGGGAAATCATCATCAGCAGCATTTTGACGCTCACTGTTGTGCAAACAGTTATCCTTAAGGGTCCTTGTGCGTTTTCATAATCGCTGTTTAATTAGGAAATTTTGAAAAATGTTTATCAGTTTTTCTTCAAATAAAAATTGTGCATAAGTTAACGAGTAATCTTCTAAGTGTTATACCATTTTGGAATCCTTATTAAATGCGCCAACTTTTACGGTTACTTGCCAAACTCTCGTAGTACATTTTTTTCCAGTACAGCCAGTTAAAGTTGAGCAAAGTTTTACTTTGGAGTACTTGGTTGGGAAATAAGTGGCAATTTTTCCTGAACGAGAAAAGTTGGCAGTAAGGTTGAGACACCAGTTTGAAGATGCATTATTCATCATTACATTCTAAAAATAAAATACAAAAAAAGTTAATATTTGTAGTAACAGGAGTTGACAGACTGCCGTAGGGTGTGAAATTTCTATATTTTTTTCAAAGACCTATAATTTTCAAAACACATACATAATTTTTTTTTAAGTATTTTCTTGATAGCTGTTATGACTTTGCCTATCACCCGGTTTCGGCTTGACGTCGACTTCTGGGACACCCTGTATATCATTGTATGATAAAAATAAATTTGCCGGCAGTCGAAAAGCTGAGATTCATTGTAAAGATTTTCTTTTTGTTCAACATAACTTTCAAAATCCACTTCTGCGTAATTTCAATTTTTTTATAATAATAATTATGCATGACTCCCCCCATGCTAAGATTCTGTAAGATAGTAATGATTGAAGAAGGGCATGATATATCATGTGTAGATATTTTTTGCTTAAAAAACTGCTGAAACATTTGACTTTCGGAATAAGGTTTCTTAATTTTTTTACTAAATTTTCAATATGTTTATTCCATATTAGCTGGTTATCTATGAATACCCCTAGGTATTTGAAATTATCAACCGATTGTATGTTTCTATCGCTATTCAACGTTTTAATTTGGAGTTGATTAAAATTTGGGGAAGATCTGTTGTCGCAAGAAAATGTAATAAAGTATGTTTTGTTGAAATTGACTGTTAAAATCCTTTCCGTGAAAAAATTTGTAACGTTTTGAAAATCTAATACAATTTTGCTTTTAAAAGAAGTCCAATCTGTGTCTGAGTAAATAATTGCCGTATCGTCTCCGAAGCCAATAATTTCTCCATCGTTTTTTAACTTAAAAAGGTCATTAATATATAGATTAAACAGCATTGGTCCTAATACCATTCCTTGTGCAGTAATATTTTCACTCAGTGTAGTAATCCTAAATTTTGCAAGATTCTTAATAATTTTGAAGTGTAATACTATCGAATGCTTTGGTTAGGTCTACAAAAAGGCATGCTGTTGACTTATTATTATAATTTATAAACATACATGAAAACTATGGCTCCCTATCGACGACAAACACTCAACACTCACTCACTCTCGGCGTTCGATTTTTGAAATACCAGAAGTATATAAACAAGTTTTGTGTAAAAGAGGCGTGATTAGGAATCGAACTTTCGTTAAATAGATTTTCTTAAATTTAAAATGTTATACAAAATTGGAAAATAACTTGCCGAATGAGCTTTTCTTTTTAATCTTCAGAAACAACTCATATGACCTGAATATGTTTCGCTGACCCTGGCAACAAATTGCCGTTTAGTGCATTATGAGATGCCGTAATTGAATTAAAACTCGCTTTGAGTATAGCACAGTACAAAAAATGTTGAAAGCACGATAATTCGCAGTGACCTTTCATTACAGCGAATTAGATATAATAGAAGATCGGCTCAAAATAGTATTTAACAGGAGTTTGATATATCGCAGTACTTTAATTCACCGATCAATTCACTTCCTAAACATAGGACAAAAATTCAAGCGCAGTTCTTGGCAGGCATCGGGAAAATAAGATTTTTTCTTACCAAAAACGACATGCGGTTCTTAATAACACACAATAATTATTTTAACTAGGTTTTTAATAGAAAGAGGATTTCACTGTTTTGGTTTGCTGGACGTTCAAGCTAGATTATTCGGAAATTACTTTATATAACTTAAAAAGAAATAAGAAAATCGTGTCCTTGCTTTCTAGCTTTAGGTAGTCAACTCAGCAGTCCTTGTAGATTCAAAGAGCTCTACATATGTTTTTTGTTAAGAAATGTTTTCGGAATTAGGCATGCCGTGTGATACCTGAATGAAAGCTTTTTAAAAAATCGTCAGGAGAGTTTAAAATTATCACTTAATTTTTAATGAGAATATCACCTACCTTTTATTGGCAAATTATGTTGGAAAGTCAGAAAATTGTTGTATCCGCTGTAACAAACCGAATCAATTTTCTTTTTCTGCTCCGCACTATCAAAATAATCTTCTTTGTCATTCCATTCTGTGCGTTCATCTCCTAGCAACTTTACAGTTACAGCTGAAAAGTGACACGAAAATTTATTGATGAATTTTTATTTATTAACGTGAATAAGGATACGCTCTAGCCACCATTTCGTTACCTATAATAACGTATTATTATGTATCATTTGTTTCTTAATCATATCTTTTACGATTTATTTTGATACCACATATTTAATCGTGCGTATATCCTTCAGATTATTTTTGTTTATATGGGACCTTGACATGGTAATCTCAATCAAGATAAACTTGATTCTAAACAAGGTATAAATAAATTCTGAGAAATAATGTAGTACAAGATTTGTTTTAATCCACTCTGCACAGATTGCATGACTTCTGATTTAAGATCATATCAGCCACTCAATTAAATACCCAAACACTTTCACGCAACAGTTATATGCAATAAAAAATCCGCTATAATGCGATTGAGCAATTAAAACCATAGCTAAGCGAGTCATCAGAGATCGCAAAAATATGTTTCTAAAAATCTTTGGAAAAAATTGTATTTACTTATAAACATTAAAAAAATGCAGTAATTCCCGAAATGACGGTAACCATGTTAAGTGATTTTCACATTTAGAATGATTTGACAGAGATGTGGTATAGTCAGCTCTCAAAAGGGAAGATAGTATGCGGTAACGCTTGGTACGCCACTGTTAATGCGGAGTACCTTTAAGTACGATAAGATTCGCAAGCACACACACAAGAACACATCGTTAGCAAAACTTCTGTTTGAACCAATTAGGTAACCTTACAAGAATATCAAGTGTAATATCTAAAATGTACTAAAGCTGTTTCCAATGTTACCTTTTACATCTGCATCTGCGTCAAAGGTGCAAACTACTCTGCCCTTTATTGACTTGCCTGGGTGATATGTACCATTGTAATTGTCCAACTGAATCTGGCAGTACATTAGTCTGAAAGTAAGTGAAATTGATAGCGTTAATGTAAGAAGAATCATAACAGCAACAGTAGCAATGCAAATTATGGATAAAGGTATTCAAGCTTTTGAATATGACTACGCCACTGGCGATAATGCCGTTGAATACCCCCCAAATCATAAAGAGTTTTTATTGCTACAAATATATATATATATATATCAAAAGGAGGGAACATAATGGGCAAAATCGGCAAAAAGGAGGAAAGTGGATTCGAGCAGAAAATAGGATAGGTAACCCGAGCGATACGTATTTCTGCTGGTTGGTCTCATCAGGATCAAAATAATTGCACAAATGAAACTACAAACGTAGATACACATGCCCACACATCCGGATACGGGTGTAACCTGAGGAAACGAAGATGGAGAGGGGAAAAAACGACACACGAAGTCCTTCTTTTTGCGGACTTCGCCCATTATTTTCCTACTTTTTGTTATATACCTTTCTCCGCATGATCATTTTCTCTTTGTATATCCCTTGGGCTTGAAGTACCACAGCAAGTGGCTATAACCGGCCGCATGGTTGTGGTTAGATGTCTCCTTGAAAATTCGAGATCTTTTGACCACTTTATACTACAATGTGTAGGTTGGCTCTTGTTGTGGACTTAGTGTGTCGACACCCCAACAATGGTGTGCAATACAATGGAGTGATGAGGCCCGATTCGAAGTTTATGTTGGTGATAGTCGCAGTAGAGTTCTTCGCAAAGATAATGAAACATTCCATGTTGACTGTCTGAAGAGGAAAGTGAAATTTCCAGCATCCATTATGGTCTGGGGCAGTATGTCATCAAAAGGAGTAGGAAAACTGCATTTTATTGATGGAAATGTGGATACAACCAAATATTTGGCAATTTTAGAAGAATTGCTGTTACCAGTAATGGAAGAATGTTTGACATCCGGCCAAGATTTTGTGTTTCAGCAAGATGGTGCAGCGTGCCATACCTCGAAAAAGGCTATAAAATGGATGAAAGAAAATAATGTACCACTTTTGAAATGGGTTTCTAGCAGTCCAGATCTGTCACCTATTGAAGCTTTGTGGCACGAGATGAAAAAGGTTCTACGGCAACATCCTGCTCGTACACCGAACGGAGACACAAGCTTCAAGAAATATGGGATTGTTTTACACCAAATTTTTGCCAAAACTTGGTTAACACTATGCCCCAAAGAATTTCAGCCGTAATAAAAAATAAAGGTGATGTTACCCAATGGTAATCTTTCAATTGTTGCTTTGTTATCTTCGCGCATTTATTCGCACATTGTTTATTTGTTCAGATGTTCTATTAGTTATAGGTCTAAGTGATTTCAAATATGTATTTTTTATGACTAGAGTGTATCTAAAATGTTTTTGAGAAAATAAATTGTTTTAGAAGTAAATAGTTTCGTTACAGGGCATTCTTTTTAAACATATTGCCATTGTTTCTCAATCACCCTGTACAACTAGGTCTCTTTGGCGCGCACTTGAGCAAATATAATAATAGCCCTGTTGGCAGAAATAACTAATTATTATATTTACCTTGCGAAATCGAAATTTTCGTTTTATTACACAGTCAATCGTATTGTAAATGTTATTTTAGCATTTGGACTCGCATACTGGTTGACGATGTTGAGAGATTAAATATTTTCATTACACCATACAGCGACTATACAGGGTGAGTTTTTTGTGAGGGCTCGCTCGATAACTCCGTTTTTGTTTCTATAAGTACGTGGTGACCAAAACATACATTCTTTTAACTGGCAATACCTAAATTTTATTACAGATTCGGACGGGTCCTTTCAAATAAAGCAATTTTATATGACTCACTATATGGTTTTATTTCCAAATTGTTGACATTTATCAAAAAAAAACTCCTACTATATCTCTACTCAACTAGAGTACTAAATTTTCCAGCAGAAATGTTTTATATTATTAATATTTTACGATCCCATATTTGCTCCCTATCTACTCGTTTTTTTAGTTCTTTTGATAGCTTATACAGGGTGGTTAGGAACGCAAAATGAACGATTTCTGAAAATGTTTAAATGTATATTTCCACATTCCTTGATTCCTCTTTTCACAAGTTTTTTTTAATGGAATTTTTGGGGGTTTGTACAACTGGTTTTTGATTTGCAGTTAAATCTTAGTTAATCAGATATCAATAAGGTAGATGACAAATATTACATTACACTTTAAAGTGAAAAATGACATCTCGCTGGTATCGGCAGATGGATAAAATTGGTGTACTTTCATTATAAATTAAATCTGCCCAACCTCATGCATAAAGTCGAAAAATCAAGAGGTGTCCTTGACAGATTAAAAGGAAGAATATATTACTTAATAAATTTCAAAATTGTTTTTATTTTTGTCGTATTTAATAGCTACACTTTGTCAAAATACTTTTGAGCGCTACTGTAAATATATCAGATTCTTTCTGGCAAATGTGTGTAAATTACAGGTACATGAAATGCTTTCATATTAAATACATAGAATCACCGGGATGAGAAGCTTCCCAATAATGGAACATTTTTCTATGATGGCGAAATGCAAGATTTACAGACCTACCACATGCAACCCACAACTCTAATATTCTATCCTGTGAACAAGTTTTCAAAAAGGGAATTTTGGTCAATTTTTATTATTCAAACCTTCAAATGGCATGAGGAGTAACAAAGCTCTCGTTCACTTTTTAAGGCGACCTGGTTTTCAGACTTCGTTTCATCACCCCTACTACTACATGATGAAAACAAATATTGAAATTTTAATAAGGAAGTCTGATTTAATGCATCACCGTTAAAAAAAGCTTTGACATAATCTTCTTTATGGTATACATACGAGACATTGATCTTTATGCTTATGAAAACAGGTGTTCACAAATTAATCTCTTACCATAGATGCTTTAGTAGAAGATAGATAGATGTGTTAGTGAAGACAAAAACCTTATTACGGAGATGCACTACAGTCAACTGATCAGAAATATTTTACTAATCGATATTATAAGAACTGAATCGTGTAAAAAATCAGGAAGACAGTAAAATGTAGAAAGCAGATCCAGGAAGAGATGCTGGCAAAAAGCGAAGCAAGGTTATAAAAATAAAACTGAATCGCAACTAAAATTGCTGTGTGTAATCCTTGAACGTGAATTAGGAGATTCGGTCTGAATCCTATAAATTATATTCTAGCGTGAATTATTTGTTTTTCGATATAGTATCGTCGCAATAAAATTATGCCACTGTTATTATTTTGTTTCCCACGGAATTTTATACACATAAATGATACAAGATTAAGATCTGAAAGCTATCAGTCGTAGCAGCTGCTGGGAAAAACGCTGGGATATATGTCTAAGGCTAGGAAGTACTTTTCTCTAAAGAACCTCTTCACCCTGTACAACCTAGATAAAGCCTGATATACTCTATTATATTTGAGATGCTGCTGCTCCAAAAACGCTGTACATATCAATACTTGATGCTGCTCAAAGGAAGTCTGTCCGACTGATCTATCAAATTTTTTAAAGAAAAACCTCAAGTCTCCCTCACATCGATGAGCGAGCAGAAGTTTTTCACCGATATGCCAGCGGTATTTGCCGCTTCAAATTGTGGGTATGTGTTTGTTACTGGGTTAGCGAGACTGTGAAAATTTTTGCAGTTCTTGAAACCTTAACATCTTTACAGTACCAACTTTCGTTTGGTTATTTACGCGGTTGCCTGTATAAAAAAAGGTCTCTTCCTCCGTTGTGGACCGATTATTTGTACTTCAACTTTCTCAAATACTCCATTGTAAATGTCTTCATTGTTCTCATAATCAATAAATGTCTCCAACAGTTCCCTCTCTAGAATATGATTCTGTCCAATCGGTTATAATTGTTGTTTATTTGATATGCTCTTATTTTCACTGAAACCATTCTAATGGCGAACGTTAATTAGTTATGCGTGGAATAATAATTTCATAACGTTGCTCCAAGGCGTATGAAGCATATTTAAATATTTATTTTTAAATCTTACACCAGATGCCTGTATACCAGGTCATCTCAAATACAATCTTACTATCATGTCAAGAAAGATAGTAGTAGTAGAATTAAGAAATTTGATTAATACTGTCTAACAAAAAATGTGTAATAGATGAATCAGTCTGAATCCGAAATTGAAGCAAATACTTAGAATCTTTAAGGTCGAGAACTTCATCAGTCGAAAAATAGACTTCTCCTTCACCATGTCGGCCAAAGTATTTTACAAATTGACACGACTGTAAGTACAATACGGTGTCAAATCTACGTAATGCAATTTGTTAATACAATATCTAAACCGCAACTTATTATGAAATAATATGATACGTTTGCCTATATTTTAGAAACACAAAAACTTGTTTCAGTACAACTGTTGTATCTGCCACTTTAAACATCTTAAAAACGCGTTATGATATTTATAATTTTTGAGATTCTTAATTGCTTCGCTGAAAGCGCACGTCCATAGAGGGAATGGAAACTGAGAGAAAAGACACGAAACTCTTCCATATAGCTCCCTTTACACATAATCAAATGAGATCCCACTCTGCGAAGCGAAGCGACGTCTTACATTTGACTTATGCAATAGATTTTGCCGCCGTTCTCTTCGCGTCGCCTTGCCTCAGTGGGCATGCACCTTAAAAACATTAACTCCGGGAGATTTGAGAAACACAATGTATATTATTGAAAACTGCATTTATTTAAAATATGTTTGAGCGTATTCCTAAATGAACGATAACATGAAAAAAAATGTACTTTGAACAAGAAAACTCTTTAATCAGGCGCAGCACACTCAACTTCGGTCAAATCGGTGCAGCGCCTACTGAGATAATCGATAGAGGGAGAGAGAAAGAGAGATAATACCCCCTTATTTAGTTTATCAACGTAATTGAGTATATTTCTTCTCATCCATTTTTTGCATAAATCCAGTCTACTCTTTTCGCTTTGCTTCTATACAACAACGACAGCATTTGGAACCTTCAAGCAATGCTCGATACAGTTTCTATCTTTCCCTGAGACATAAGTGACATTTTTTGTTATTTTGATCTATTCCTTATAGTTTTATGTAGCCAAAAATGTTTGAGTTTTTGAATTGCATGTTAAACGTAATTTTCCGGTAATCAGAAGAACTCTCAAAGCGCGCTTTTCAGTGTCGTGTTTGTCCTAAAACAGTGGTTAGCTTCAACCAGAAGACCATCTTCAGGCTAACGAGAAAATTGTAATTTCACCCCATTACCAAACCTCTTTTGTTTGACGGTGACATAGGTTGTCCCGGATGACACAAGGGACAAACGAGCATCACAAATCGCACAAAACACTGTAGTTGAGACTTAGATGAAGCATTGCCAGATCAGCAGTTACAGGTTAGCTAACTAGAAACACAACAGACAACTAACAGCAAACTTACAAGTTATGGTTACCCAACTTGAAAGTTACCCGAAAATCGGGGTTCGCAGGGTATTTGAGGTAAGGAAAAATACGAATTCCAGGCTGACAATTACGTTTGGTACTGAATTAAATCTCAGTTAAAACGCACCCACGAAAAGTGTGTTTTATAGTTATATACGAACAGAAACAGGAAAGTTATTCCCTAGGTGATTAGCTTTTAAGCCCCTGAACGCTTTATTTCGGTATCAAAAGCAACTGAAGGCTTAATGAATATTTGATGTAAGTTCAATAATAAGTTGTCTTCCTATTGAGCGTATGAATTTTGATGATATTTTTTCAAAATTATGTGCATTTCGAAATTGTTTTAAGTCCTTGGGTATGTGTCCATATAATAGAGAGAGAGAGAGAGAGAAATAGTGAAAAGACCGCTTCATTATGATCTTATGAATTTAGGGCAATTTTTTGCAGGTAATTTATATAGAGTATTATGGCATTGTGTGATTTTATCGTGCTCACTGGCAACTTTGTGATAATGGCTGATATTTGACATTCTCCGCTGTATCAATTTTTAAATTTGTGTTTATTTCGATTCGTAATCTAAAGGACGTAGTATCTGATAAAGTGCTATTAACCAGTTATCATTCATATTTCCTCTCCAAAATTACCTATGCAATTTTGGTATGGGGACAATCTCCACACACGCATAAAGTTTTTGGCATGCAAAAGCGATTTATCCGTTACAAGTTGGGCTTGAAATATAGAGATCCCTGCAAGGTTGAATTTGTCAAATGGGGGATACTGGCTCTACCATACACATATATTTTGAGTTGCTTGTTCTATGTGAAGGGCAATTGTAGTCTCTAGTCAGTGATTTTCACTGTTATGAAGCTCGCAATAGAGGTAATATTTGCCTAGAAACGGTTTTTTAACGTGTTGCCAAAACCTGTCAAATCTCTGAATATTGATGATTTCCACAAGAAACTCAAAGACTATAAAAACAGCATTCTTCTGTATTGATGAGTATTTGACAAATAGCTTTAGCGATATGGTTTTGTAAATGTTCGTATTATTTTTTATTTTAGTCAGTCCCGCGTTTTACGCATGTTTGTGGTAATGTTGATATTTATTTTACTCTGTCTCATTTTTTCCGCTTTTGTGTTTATATTTATTATACTCTCCCGCATTTGCGGCTGTCCTTATTTATTTCACTGTATTTCGCTTGTCCACTTTGTCTGTATGTCCGTATCTGTTAGGTATAGTTTATTATTCTTAATTGTTATTGTTCTCTAATGCCCCTCAAGACAGGCATGTCTTTTAGACATTTACTATTTTGACGTGTATAAACACATTTGTGTAGTAACACCAATAAATTACACTGACCAACAGCCAAAAAATATCCTAACTAAAATCAACAAAATATTACTATTTTTAATGTGCTAAAATCGGAATGAAACTTATTTTTTCAATATTAGATCAGGTTTTAGAGATACGGTAATTATATGTGTTCCTGCTGTGACAGTGTTAATATACTGTAATTCACAAGAATGCACGTGCTACATTTTTATATTCGGCAAGGAAAGATGATGTAATCGGCATGATGTGTTACGTTATACATACGTGTACATTATATTGTTTTATATTAACCATTTTTTCCTCAGTTGGCTGACAGCGTTCATGCAAGATGTCTCGAAAGTGTGTAAACAATCCAGATCAGTTTTGTTACGTGTGTGGTGATGTGACTTTTGCGTCTCAGAGACGGTCTATTACTCCACTAATAACAAAGGCATATCAGCTTTATTTCGGTTGTAAACTAGGTGATCAAGACAAACAGTGGGCACCTCACATCTGCTGTAATACATGTGCTTCAAGTCTGAGGGGCTGGTGAAATGGCAAACAACGGTCTATGCGCTTTGCTGTCCCAATGGTTTGGAGAGAGCCTACAAATCATATTAATGATTGTTACTTTTGCATGGTACCTTGTGTTGGACAAGCCACAGGTATGTCCAAGAAAAAAAATCGGTTATTAACTACTCAAACGTACCATCTGCGATGAGACCTGTGCCTCACAGCGACGAAAATCCTATTCCAAAACCCCCAGAATCCTACACTTGCGAATCAGAAAACGAATCAGATCATGGCGATCGAGTGATTCGTCAGGAAGAAGATATGCCATCAACGTCAAGAGATCCTGATTTTATACCGAGCACGTCATGCCACCAACCGCACAAAATAACACAGTCAGAATTAAATGATCTTGTAAGAGATTTAGAACTTCCAAAATGTAAGGCAGAGTTACTTGGATCAAGACTGCAGCATTGGAACTTGTTAGAAGACGAAGTTTCGGTATGTGTTTTTCGTAAACGCCACAAAGACTTAGAACCATTTTTCAATATGGAGAATAACTTGGTTTTCTGCAGTAACATTAACGGCTTACTGGCGGCTTTAAATATAAACTATAACCCAGAAGAATGGAGATTGTTTATAAACAGTTCAACATTGAGCTTAAAGGCAGTGTTATTGCATATTGGAAATATTTTACCATCTTTTCCTGTAGGGTATGCAGTTCACATGAAAGAATCATATGACAATATGAAGTACCTATTGACATGCATAAAATACGATGAGCACCAATGGCATATTTGTGGCGATTTGAAAGTTGTTGCACTTTTACTTGGGCTGGAGCTAGGCTACACAAAGTTTTGCTGTTTTTTGTGTGAATGGGACAGTCGGGCAAAGGCACTTCATTACACCAGACAAAACTGGCCTGTTCGTCAATTCCTAGAGCCAGGTCAAAAAAAATGTACAGCATATGCCATTAGTAGATTCGAAAAAAATGTTATTACCACCACTGCATATCAAGTTGGGCCTAATGAAAAACTTTGTCAAGGCATTAGATAGAGACGGGTCAGCTTTCCAATACCTGCGTCAGAAATTTCCAAGACTAAGTGAGGCAAAGGTTAAAGAAGGTATTTTTGTTGGGCCACAGATTCGAAATATTTTGAAAGATACACAGTTTGAGAACACTTTAACAGGTATTGAAAAAACTGCTTGAAATGATTTCCGTCTGGTGGTCACTAATTTCTTGGGAAATAGAAAAGCTGACAACTATAAAACCCTTGTCAAAAATATGCTGTCATCGTATCAAAAGATGGGCTGCAATATGTCTCTTAAGATACATTTCCTACACTCACACCTGGACTTTTTCCCTGACAATTGCGGAGCCGTAAGTGATGAGCACGGCGAACGTTTTCATCAGGATATTTCAACAATGGAAAAAAGGTACCAGGGAAAGTGGAATCCTTCCATTCTTGCAGACTACTGTTGGACTCTTGGTAGAGATTCTCCAGAAACGATCCATAAAAGAACAGCAAAAAGACAGCGCATATAGTGATTTTTATAAGTATATAAATCTTGTTACTTTTTTAATATATCCTTAAAAATAAAATTTTTTTTTCTAAACCGCAACTAATTTTTTTATTTCATTGTCATTTTTGGATTCAGCGCCCCAAAATTAACAAAGAAGTGCACTTTTCACACAAGATACAATTAAAAAACTAAAATTTGTTGTCCAGTGTTATTATTATTATTGTTATTAAAGATTTGAATAATCGGGTAGATGTCTTCCGTATGATGTCAAGGATAGAAAAAGCATTTTTTCAAAGATACAAAAATAATTGATTTTACAAAAGTAATTATCGATTGTTCTATTTTCATCATACCGGTCTTGGCCTTTATATACTATTGTCGTATCATCAGGAAAACTGACTATTAAACCCACACAGTTAATTCTGAATATATCATTCAAATAGATGTTAAACAGACTAGGCTCTATCACAGTGCCCTGAGGTACACCACATTTGAAAATCATTTCCTTACTGTATGATTTTGATAGTTTCATTACTTGGGTATTTTTAATAAATAACTTTGCATCAATAAATATGTTTTTCCACGAAAAACTGATTTGTTTAAGATCTCCAACAGTGAATTGTGATTGACGGTATTGAATGTCTCTTTTAAATCGGCAAATACGCATACAAATGGAGCTTTCTCATCAAAGTTTTGGGTGATTTGATTCACCACTATCTGTGGTAGATTTTCCTGCGACCAAACCGTACCGATTTGGGCTTAGAATTTTTGAATTTATCAAGAAAATGTGCCATCGTACGAGAGGGTAATTTTTCCAATACTTTCTCCAAGATCGACACGTATGTCAGGTATTAAATATATGGTTTTGCGTTGAAACGGTGATACCGTCTTTTCAAAGGTTTCACAAGACTTCGCACCATGCTCAAAATCAAGGTCTCTTTTGTCCAAAATAGTGAAAACGTGGTGATGGTTGTTCAACTAAAAAAGCCTGCAATTTTAGCTAGCGCGATTTAGCGTTATTAAACTAAATTCTTTTAACTAGTCTAACTTAACCGTTTATTAACTCTTTATCTAACATAGATGTGTAGTATATTTGAAGCTACCTCGTAGTTAATTTCTCCCACCACGAAACTTCGAATCGCGCCACACTCTCGATGTTATCAATTTAACTTCGGTCAAGTGTCACTCATTTATTAGTTAGCACGATACCTCTCGTAAATAGACTTCACGGCACACTAAAAATACGATATACACCTGCCAAGCCTCACTCGCTCAACTCACGTGACCACCTGGGATTCTTACAGCACAAAAGACGGAAAATAAAAATAAGTTACTGGGAATTAGAGTGAATTTGTTGCATCTTACCTTGAATGAAAAATATTCCCGAAAGCGGCTGTTATCGGTCACATTAGACAAGCTAGAGTGAACTGTCTGTAGATAAACAACGCACATGATCACTGAGAGCATTCCATTGGTGATTGTGTGTTGTGCGAGAGCACTTGTTGCATCGGTGCGTTTCAGATGCTGATTCTCTAATTGTGCCGCGGCGACATGGTTTACACACGAAATTACAGAAAAATTCTGGCTACGCCGCGGTAATGTGACAAAAATTTGCGGTGCGGCGCTCGTTCGACGTCTTGCCAATTTTCTAGCGAGGGGACCTGAACTGTCTGACAAAAGTTTAAAATACATTATCAGATGTGTTTTCAGTTCAATCGCCGAAACGGTTGGACGTAAACGTGAATATCGTTAGTCTGTGAAAATTTAGTTCATGGCTAAAAATACAGGATATGATTCCTTAGTTCATTTAGGGAAGAAAAGTTTATATGAATAAATGTCCTTTTGTGTTAAAATCTTAAGAATAAATTCGTTTTCTTATTATTACTTTAATATACTAAGTGACATATAAATCCGAACACCCAGTTTAAATGGTTTTATTTTAATAAAAGTTGGTGAATGTATTTATCTTACTGTAAATAACAAGTGAAAAAAATTTCAACCTTATCAGTTGGACATTCCGGTTTTTACACTGCTTTTTTTTAATTCACTGACGCTCTAAAAATGAATATTTCAGCCGCAGTAAAGAATCAACGTTGGCGGATTTTGGTTCTTGACATCCTTTACGATCGGTTACGATGCGTAGAGTACGGAGACCTGTACTATTTCGTCAACTTAGTGAGTTTGATTGGGGCCGTATAGTGGGACTTCGGGAAGCTGGACTTTCTTTTCGGGCAATTGCAGTTAGAGTGCAAAGAAGTGTAGACACTGTAGTTAGGTGTTGTCAGGCATGGCTTCGAGAAGGCTGTACGCAAAGAGCAAGGGGCACTGGACGCCGCCGTAGAACAACAGACCGTGATCGCCGCCTAAGATTATTGGCCTTAAGGGACCGTTTCTCCACTACCAGGTCCATTGCAAATGAATGGTTTGCAGAACACGGAAGACCTATTGGCATGCGAAGTGTTTACCGACGAATGAGAAGTTTTGGCTTGTTTTCATACCGGCCACACTGGGTCCTCCCTTTAACTCGAGAACACCGACGTAATCGCCTTGAGTGGTGCAGACAACGGTCACTCTGGGATCAGGAACGGAACAGTATTGTCTTCAGTGACGAGTCTCGATTTTGTTTAGGCATGCACGATGGTCGGGCCAGGGTTAGAAGGCGACGTGGTGAAAGGAGGAATCCACAGTTTTTTGTTGAAAGACATGTTCATCACACTGTTAGAGTTATGGTTTGGGGTGCTATAGCTTATGGTTCCAGGTCAGCTTTAATCTTCATCAGCGTTATATCCACGAAGTTCTAGAACCCCATATTTTACCCTATCTTGACACCCTGGCAGATCCAACTTTCCAACAAGGTAATGCCCGACCACATGTTGCAAGAGTCACAATAGAATTCTTTCAACATAATGATGTCACATTGTTACCATGGCCACCAAGATCTCCCGACGTATCCCCAATTGAGCACGTGTGGGATATGATGGGTAGGAGATTGCTCAATTTGCAACGTCCTCCTCAGACTCTAGAAGCAGTTCGAGAGGAGTTGGTGGTTGCCTGGAATGAGATACCACAGGAGGACATTGACCACCTGATCAGAAGCATGCCTAGGCGCGTTGGAGAATGCGTAGCACATCAGGGTGCATCCACACATTATTAAAGGTCAAAGGGCTTTAAAGCAGTGCAATCATTTTGAAATTTTTATCATTTACTTATTATGCTTCATTAAGTACTTATACAAAATTTTATTAAAATTAAACCATTTAAACTGGGTGTTCGGATTTATATGTCACTTAGTATACTTTTCTAGATATTTTCATGAAATTTGATATGCACCAACGAAGCACCAATAGGCATGTTTTTGAATTTTTGAATATTTTTTTATATTTCTACCAGTGACGTCCGTACAGGTTGTGTACTGGAGATTTTTCAAAAAAACATGTTACGCCATTACCTTTCCGAAAAAAACTCATTTTTGTGATCCTCATTTATTTAGCAACAAATTTGACCTCTTGACATTTTCCCTTCCGATGCACCGTTTTCGCGTAAAAAATAAAGACCATTTTGCTATCAATTGACTTCACTTGAATAAACACTAAACAAAAACACATTTTATCTACAAACCACTACATGAGATTTTAGCGATTTTGAAATGCATGAAAATTAAAAAACAAGTTTTGACAGTTTCTGTGGATCAAATGAACTACTATTTAATTTATTTATCAGAAGAATTGCTGAAAATGTCCTCCTTCTGCTAGAATACCATGTGACTTGGGATGCCAAGATTGAGTTCCCCGACGTCCTGTGCAGAGATAATAATAATAAAATGTGCAGGAGCACCATCATACAGGTACCACATTTCTTCTCTTAATAAAAAAGGTACATCCTCGAGGAAAATTGGCAAATCGTTTTTAAGATCACAGAGTGACCGTTGTCTGCACCACTCAAGGCGATTACGTCGGTGTTCTCGAGTTAAAGGGAGGACCCAGTGTGGCCGGTATGAAAACAAGCCAAAACTTCTCATTCGTCTGTAAACACTTCGCATGCCAATAGGTCTTCCGTGTTCTGCAAACCATTCATTTGCAATGGACCTGGTAGTGGAGAAACGGTCCCTTAAGGCCAATAATCTTAGGCGGCGATCTTCACGGTCTGTTGTTCTACGGCGGCGTCCAGTGCTCTTTGCGTACGGCCTTCTCGAAGCCATGCCTGACAACACCTAACCACAGTGTCTACACTTCTTTGCAATCTAACTTCAATTGCCCGAAAAGAAAGTCCAGCTTCCCGAAGTCCCACTATATGGCCCCTATCAAACTCACTAAGTTGACGAAATCGTACAGGTCTCCGTACTCTAGGCATCGTAACCGATCGTAAAGGATGTCAAGAATCAAAATCCGCCAACGTTGATTCTTTACTGCGGCTGAAATATTCATTTTTAGTGCGTTAGTGAATTAAAAAAAAGCAGTATAAAAACCGGAGTGTCCAACTGATAAGGCTGAAAATTTTTTCACTTGTTATTTACAGTAAGATAAATACATTCTCCAACTTTTATTAAAATAAAACCATTTAAACGGATTTATATGTCACTTAGTATATTATTTACATGGTATAAAATTTAGACATCCATCTAAAGGTACGCCTAGTAGAAGAAAAAATTAAATGACCTTCCTCCTCTTCCTGGGAGGAATTGCTGCCGGTGCACATGATAGCTGGATCAATTATGTGATGGCTGTAATTGTTTTTGAACTTTCTCTCCAGTAAAAATATTATCAAATTTACCGGAAACCGAATCAAATAAATTTGAATGTGGTCGAATCTGTCAGTGTTTTAGCGTTGCCCGTCCTGGACTAAGAACAGCCTGGTCCAACGTAACGCGACGGGACGTCTCAACGCCAACGCTCAGTCCATCATACGACGGCGCGTCGCGTCGCCGGGAAGCAACGCGCAATTTCCCGCCGTCTGCCAAGCTACCAACTTCAATATTTTTATCAGGAATGTACAACTACAACTAGCGACCAACCCACGTTTCCTACTCTACTTACATAATTATATCATTGTATGCTTCTATTGTCGCTGTAACCTTTTGTATGAATCAGATCCGGTACTAGAATCATACAGGACCGATATACGATGATGTATATAAACATCTGAAACTTATCCTGTGGTTTTCAATCTAATAAAACTCCACGTTTTTTTGTGGCCGCTGATAGGGAATAAGGGTTAATTATTTTTATTTATCGTCTTTATTGCTACAGAATTTCACCTTCTACCTTATTTTATACTTAAGCGCTACAAATTTACATCTTTGTCGTCTCCACAGACTTGATTCTTGAGATATAGCCTTCCTGAGTGCAATCAACAATGCGTAAGTTTTTGGTTAATGTGTGCAACTAAGGTTTGTTAGTGAAGTGAGACAGTCCAAACAGCAATAAGGATCAGTAAATATCTGGCTGACTTCTAAAGTTCCAAAAAGAATAGCTGAGCGAACCTTGATCGGAACATGCCCTAAAACATTGATTCCCAAAGTGGTCTATATCGACCCCTAGGGGACTATGACAACCTGCAAGGGGTCTACGTCAGCGAAAAAAAATTTGGGGGTCCATGAAATGAATATGGGGGTCCACGATAGTGGATCTCAACACATACACTGATAGTACCTATTTACTTACATCATACTATCTTATAATATCAAAACATATACATTATTTATAAAAGTACCTACGAAGTAAAAAATTTATTATTCATGTTTATAAAATTGTGTAAATTTTAGTTTTGTACTCGTAGTTAGCAAAGACAGATAAATTACGCCAATCATGACTTTAGTTATTAGTATCTACTTAAATATTCAATCATGCAAAATTACACGAGTACTCCTCAATAGTTTCTTTTTGAAAGTTTTAGCAATCGGTAATATAATTACAGTACAATCTCCGTAATTCGAGCTAATTGTTGCAAAAAGATATTCGAATTATGGAATGTTTTCGGAAAAATCAAAAAATATTTTTAATATACAGCTGCTGGATTTTCTGTCTTATTTAAATAATTTAATTTTGCCCACAGATGACTGATGCCATGTCCGAATCTAAAAAGAAATGTAGACAGTACAGTGTTGATTATTTGAAATTTGGTTTCATTCCATCATTGCCGGACAAACAATCGCCTATGTGCCTTTTATGCAACAAAGTTTTGGGCAATGACGCTATGAAACCATCTAAACTGCAAGATCATCTGAGAAGATGCCACCCTGATAAAACAGAGAAAGATTTGAAATACTTTCAAACACTCAAAGATAAATTTCAGAAGAGACCTACACTGGACAGAATGTTCGCTTCGACGTCACAAAAAAATGATGATGGTTTGCGGGCGTCTTACAATATTTCGTTACTTATAGCAAAATCCGGAAAACCGCATACTATCGGAGAGAAGTTAATTTTGCCAGCCGTTGAAGAGGTTTTAAAAACTGTTTTACACAAACTTGCATCTGATATCATTAAAAGAATTCCCTTAAGCAACAATACTGTTGAAAGACGTATTGATGAAATGAGTTCTGATATTGAAAGCTTCTTATGTAATTATTTGCAAACGACCCATTTCTCTATACAACTGTACGAGTCAACTTCACCTGATAATGCAGCATTATTATTGGCATATGTTCATTCTATTATGAATCAAGAAATCTACGAAGAACTGCTCTTCGCAAGAACTTTGATAACCGACGCTAAAGGTGAATCAATATTTCATGTTTTGAAGGATTACTTCATTGAAAAAGCAATTCCTTTATCAAATATAATATCAGTAGCTACAGATGGAGCACCTGCCATGGTTGGACGTTATCGTGGATTTATAAGCTATTTTAAAATGTGTCAGGGGTGTTAGCAATACATCGCGTCATCCATCGACAACATTTAGTTGCTAAAAATTTGAGTGTTAGATTGCATGAATCACTTCATTCAGTCATTGATGCAGTAAACCGAGTCCGAAGCAACGCGTTGAATACGCGGTTATTTGCGCAGTTGTGTGAAGAAAATGACGAACACTTTCAACAATTACTCCTTCACACTGAAGTACGCTGGCTGTTGAAAGGCTTATGTTTGACAAGATTTTTTGCACTTTTTGAGACTATTTTAGAATTTCTGGATACTAAAGATAAAATTTTAAAAGAAAATTTAATGAAGACATCGCCTATTTAACAGATTTGTTTACAAAATTTAATATGGTTAATTTGCAATTACAAGGCGATAGTTTAAATTTGATTAAAACAAAGTCCATCTCATCAGCTTTTCTTGCCAGAGTTAAACTAATGAAGCAAAATATTGGACGGGGCGAATTTTCTCAGTCCCCCAATTTGTCACAGACAAGCTGCCAGGAAGACGACGTTTCAACTTACGTTCAACATTTAAATGCCCTCTATTCAGATTTTGAATCTAGGTTTGAGGATATTTTGACTATGGTAATACCACCGTGGATAATTAATCCATATGGTGACATAGAAGAAACGAATGTCATAATACAAGAGGAGCTGACTGAACTAGGTACAAACGAAGAACTTAAGGTTCAGTTTAAAAACGGATATCAGCAATTCTGGCTGCAAAACAGCATACCCGTTACTTATCCCGTATTATGAAATATAGCGAGGAAATTTTTAATTCCCTTTCCATCGTCATACCTAGTGGAAAGGGGGTTCAGCGCTGTTACCAATCTCCTAACGAAAATAAGAAACAAACTGGACATCATTAGCCGAGGAGATTTAAGAGTAACCCTTACAAAATTGACGCCAAATGTTGATAATTTATTATTAAAGCATCAGGTTCATCCTTCTCACTAAAAATATTGACTTATTGCTTATGTTATTTTATTTATAATTTATTTTATGTTTATTGGTGTCTGACCAATAAATGCCCGCATTGGGAATAAGTGCCCGCATTGATTTATTTAAAGAACCCCCCTTTATAGAAAATATTTTTTTAAATTATTCTGAAAATTCAAGGATAGGTACACACTAAGACTCGTTAATTTTTTGCCTATTTTTAGATAACTTAAACGTATAAGAAGCGGAATTTAATCAAACTAACAGTGAAATTATTGTAGAACATACATCTATGTTATAATTAACAAACGAACTCGCTTATTGTACTATTTTAAGTAAAAAACTTTTTTTTATTATTTTTCACTTTTCTTTATTTTATCCCTCTAATTTTTTTCTTCAATGCGGGCACTTATTCCCAATGCGGGCACTTATTGGTCAGACACCTGTTTATTTAATGTCACCTATATTTTACATAACAGATACAAAATTTTGTTTGTAGTTTCAATTTAAATTCAATTAATAAATGTATAAATTAACATGTGTTTTTACTTTAATTTTTTAACACTAAACTTCACTACAGGTAGAAATTTACAGGAAATCAATATCAGGTAAGTAGGGGGTCTACCCAACACGGAAAAACATGGCAAGGGGTCTACGACACAAAAAAGTTTGGGGAACTCTGCCCTAAAGAATGGAACTTTCTTAATTTAATATAGCTACACTCAAGTCTAAGTAGTTCTGCAGCTTACTGGCATGAAGCACTGCAAAAATATAATTGAGGCGTGTTTTACAAAAACAACATATGTCCAAAATACAAAATTTTTAGGAAACAGAAAAAACGATTTATTTCAAAACTAATAATGTTCTTGAATATGTTTTCGTTAATTACTACTAATAATAGCTTAAAAAATATGCTCGTCACTAAAAAAATATGTGTGCTTAAATAATCAAATAAAAACAATTGAAAACTGTTGGACATAAGTTGTTTTTGTAAGAAAGAAAAACGAAGTGCGAAAAGTACTACCTGTATTTCAAAAATGCACAAAATGATTATATAAAAGAAAAAACGGATCAATAATGATAAACAATAACTTAATCTTCGCATCCACTGCTATTGTCGTCTTCTTGAATGTCGGATTTAGGTGTATTATTATCAATGATACATTCGTAGTATCTACTCTTTGTTAGATACGAAGCGTAGTAAGGATAATAGCTATTTTAAATTTCTGCTTTATTTGAAGCAACTGGCAGTAGTTCATCGAGTGTCTTTCAAGTTGGATAGTGCAGGGTAAATTTGCTTCAGCATCGATACTGCTTCGAAATTTTTACTTCTTCAATCTTAGCAATAAACCAAGCAAACGTAAACTGAAGAGATATTGTGTGTAAACCAATGCAGCTGCAATTATGGAATAACCACATCATAGAAACAAAAACATTATTTTTCACTTTTATCGGTCTTTGATTATAAATGCTTTGCAAAATAAAATACAAATTGAAACGACAATTCATTTCTTAACCTTGTTGTGAAAAACATATTTCTTACAAACCAGATACTTACTCACTTTTTCATTCTTTTTTAAGTAGCAATTCAATAATCAAGCTGAATTAGATGAATATCTAGGCCTGCCATCAGTCCGGGACTCCTCGGATTTGTCCTAGTTTGGAAGGCGTTCAGGGATTCTCCGGAAGAGGTTTTTAAAAAGTACCCGAAGATTCCTCGGACACTCTTTGTGTCAGAGGAATCGGAATAGGCAATTTTTTCTCACAAATTCTGTCATTTTAGGGGGGGCCGGGGGGCGCAAACGATATTTGGGTCTGGTAATTTTTTTCAACCTCAGTGGGACTTCTAGAATTTATACTATTATTGCTCCTTAATTCCATTGTGTTCGATCTGGTTAATGCCATTCTCGTATGGAGAGACGAGAAAGAAGGATGGCTGTAGTATAGATTATCTATAGATCATGTCTTGAGACGGTCTCCAGACTGCCTAGAGACAAATTGCGCAACGGGGTCTACTAGAGTGTACTAAGCTTAAGGATTAATACTGTGAACTGTCCATTAAACAAATCAAGTAACTGGTGTTGATCACATGTAAAAATGTCGTAAATCTTTGGCAAAAACTATATCTGTTAGATCGTAATTATTTTGATAATGGATGCTTGTAGATACGAAACAAGTACAGGAATAATAGGGCTGTACATCTTCACGTCTACCGTGGAAGCTCTGTGATTCAAACGATTTCAATATGGTACCTGACATAAATAGACACATACGCGAGAAGAGATGCGGGACGTGTAAAGTATAATTTTATTAGTAATATCTTGAGTATTTCATTTGTTACGCTGTAAATATTTGGCGATTTTATCAATTTTTGTCAAATACCGCTATAGCAAGCTGTTTAAATTAAAAAAATGAAAATGTTTTTGTTTTTATTGTGGAAAAAAATCTGGAGAAAAACTGAATATTCACATTCGCATTTGCGAAAGACTGAAATTTTAATGATGGGTACATCCCAAGTATAGAGTCAACCTACTTGACTACTTTTCATTGTCTAAAAAAGCGGCCTTTGCCATCTGTTGACGAAAAATCTGAACTCTTAAATAAGTGTTCCTGCTTACTACTCCACGTGAGAAAACTGTCTTACGACACTGGAAGTCTTCAAACTGCTCAATAGATAGCGCTATATGTCAAATTGGTGAGGTTGGATTGAAATGACAGTTTGACAGTTAAAACCAGTTATAACCTTACATTTTACCGTTTTGACATGTTTTGCCATTTTTACTTTGATTTTTGAAAAAGAATATAAACCGGTAAATAATGAATGCGTTTACGAAAAGTAGAGAACTAAGAAAACTGCCAGCGCTATTGTCAAAATGGTACAGCGCAAAGGCAGCTCCGGAGATCGAGCAACTGGTGAAGGCAAGCAAAGTAGTAGTGTTTATGAAAGGAGTTCCCGAGCAACCCCAATGTGGCTTCAGCAATGCTGTGGTTCAGATATTGCGGATGCATGGTGTAAAGTATGATGCCCATAATGTACTGCAAGACGAAGATTTGCGTCAAGGTATAGATATAACATTAATTAGATGAGCAATGCCATAAGTACACAATACAAGTAGAGCAGACTAGAAATATTTGATAGAGCCGTTACAATTAAAGGATACAACTTGCCCCAAAGTTTGGAATCTTTTTAAACATGAACAACCTCCACCCAAAAGTTATAAAATATATGTAGTGTATAAAATTGAATTACGGGTGCTTTGCTGATACTATCTTGAAATATTCAAAAGATAAGTTACCTTTTATGTTTCTGCTATAATCACTGTTAATACTATCACAAATTATTGAAGAGTTTACATTCAAATAAAAAAGTAGTATATCACATGACCATTCATTATCATCATTTAATATTATGCTAAATGATTCAATGACCCTGGATGAAAAAACCAAAATAAGTATGGTCAGTGTAAAACATGTGAACTGTTTATTCAACATAATGAAATAAACCTTATTTATGAATATGCTGTCCTTATATTAGTGTTGTACTGAACCTCAAGACGAACATATAGGCTCACCATAAGACTTTTAAAGCCAAAATATATGTTTTAATTTTGAATATAATAGCAAGCATTAAAATCATTGTACCATTCAACAGTATATGCCACTGTCAATATATAAAGATGGCATCTAGTAGGTTGTCACATGCAGTTCAGTCATCAATTAGGTTATCCTTTTTTATTTAAAAAAACAAATGTGTTATGAGGGAGACCAATGGAGATATTTTGGCATTATTGTCTGCAATGTGTAGACACATACCTGAACAGAATTTCTCCACAGGACTACAAACTCAAGCAAGAATGACTGAATTGTGAGCATTGTGGCAGCTTTTATTACATTAATCATTGTTCCAATAATTTGGCAATCTGGCAGTACACAAAACTAGTTGGGAATTATTAAAAAGTATAGCTGGACTAGACAAATATTGCCTATTGCATCATTACACTTTTGTGATTTTTATGAATGTTGAACATAGGTAAAGGAACAGGCTTCCCAAAAATATTCTTGTGAGCCATTATTATTATTATACAGGATGTAAAAAGCTAGTCTGTTGTCCCCATATACACTTTCAAAATTTATATTCTGAAATATACACTGCCTTTCTAAGGTTTTCTAAGAAAAACCTATTACCCATTCCAGTAGCAGCCCTTAGGAGCCTGTATTTCTGTATGAGAACCCAATCAAACATATTTTTTAAGGAACTTGTGGCATTATTTTTGTATTATAATTGCATGTGAGCGATTGCGATCTTATTCTAGGAAACCCAATATTTTTTCAGTCTTTCAAAAACTGTAATGAAGGAAAGCTAGATGAAGATGGCGCTAGTTAGGTTGGGGGTCATGTCTAAGGTTGTAAACAGACCAAAATGTAAATAACTGATCAACTATTCACATTAATAGATGTCAAAACATGATGAATTATTATGAAAAATAAAATTAAATACTACTTTTGGCAATCTGACCTCCAGCCACAATAGCGCCGAAAAGCGGGGGCGAAATTGGGCCCTTGCATGATAAGCAACTTGTGCTGGTAATACAATTTGACCTAAACGTTTTTTTTCACTTCTGCTTATACATAGCAAGTTTTTTTATTTGTAGGTATAAAGGATTTTTCAAATTGGCCAACAATACCTCAAGTCTTCATAAATGGTGAATTTATTGGTGGATGTGACATCATGCTACAGATGCACCAATCAGGAGATCTGATTGAAGAATTAGAAAAGGCTGGAATCAAGAGTGCTCTTTTGGAGAAGGAAAAAGAGA